GTGTTGAGGGGCTCAGAGTTATGGAAGCATGCTTGCATATAAGCATGGTATTCATGCTTCAACAAGCAGTCGTAGCCTAAATTCAAAAAGTTATCTGAATGCAAAAATCCTAACGCGCAGATCTATAACCCGACGCCCTAAGCCTCACCCTGGAAAGAAGCTTTCATCCCGAAGCCTGATACGCCAAACCCTGCAACAGTGAACCGAAACCCCAAGCCCTGAGAGCTGAACCGACACCGGGAATCTTAAACCACAGCCCTGAGCCTTACAGTCCATAAGCCAGAGATATGCTCCCTGAACGGCGATCCCTATCCAAGGATCTTCGCGATCGAGAAAAGAATAAATGCATATATATATATATACACACACATGTGTATCATATGTATTATTGTATGTATATTACATGTATTACCTTTGTTATAGTTGTTACATCTGTATGTATGTATGTACGTATGTATGTATGTACGTATGTATCTATGTATGTATGTATGTATGTATGTAGTTGCGTATGCATATACCTGCATACTTGCCTGCATATGCTTACCCGCAAGCCTCAACCCCCAAGTCCCAAACCCCAAGTAGTCGAGCCACCCCTCAGAAACTATTCTAAGTATTAAGGCCCCTACATTATAGTACCCTCATAGATCCTTTGTAGTAGCCCTTATAGATCCTTCATAGTACCCTTATAGATCCTTTATAGTAGCCCTTATAGATCCTTTATAGTACCCTTATAGACCCCTGTAAAGGAACCCTAAGCTCATCCCAGGATCTTGGCGATCTGTGGGGTCATCCCGGATTTCGGGAAATTGGCGGCGCCCCTGGGTCTCCGGGAAGTTCGTGAGCAGAACTCTTCTTCGTTTTGGTATAGTATACGTATATATATATATATATATATATATATATATATATATATATATATTATATGTATGTACGTATATGTATGTATATATCCTGAAGCAACCAATGCTGTAAGCATATTCTTTAAACCATAATAAGCCCTAAAGGAACGAGTTGTAGTATGGTGTATCCGGAAGAAGGAACAAACATCATGGTCCTTAACCTGACGGCCTATGTAAAGCCTACTTGGAGGTTCAGGGGTAGTTATAAGTGGGTTATACGTCCCTTAAATTTGGTTATAGCTAAAGTTACCCTACTACTAACCCCACGTATAACTACCCCTGAACCTCCAAATTTGTCCTTGAACACCCTAAACCCGAAACTCTTAACCCTACAAGAGGGCCTGCAATTTAAGCTGAGGTTTGGGAGTCGACTTCTCAACTCGCTTTGGCGACATCTGCTCCTTGATGCTCGGCTGTACTACTGTTGATGATAAAAATCCTGCACTACCTTAAGGACCCGAAACTATGGGAATTATGGTATATGCCTTACAATGGGTCATGCAGGATTTATATCATCAACTGTAGGCTTCCTGCAACAGGGCACTGCAAGGGTTCCTCTAGGGATCTATAAGGGTTCCATGAGGGCTTAGCATACTCCTCCTACCACTCTGATTGCTGTGGTGATGGTGCTTAACCCTAAGCCCTAAACTGTGGAACCATCCATCCCAAGCCCGAAAAGCCACACTCTTAAAGCCTCCTCAATTCTGAACTCAAAGCCCTATGTATGAAGCCCGGAACTCTGGGCTCTATGCCCAGGATCGTGGAGTTTCTCAGCGAGACGACCAGCTTCGGCTTCAGCCAGCACCCGGGTTCAGAGTTTAGAGTTGAGGCTTTCGGACTTAGGATTTAGGATCTACGATTTTAGGTTTTAGGATTTAGGATTTAAGATTGAGGGTTCTGGATTTAGTTTTTGCTCCGAAGGGTGTTGCTTGGGGTACATCCTAGAACATGGTTCATAGTCTGCGTGCGTCATTTGAAACCCTGAGAGAGGCCTTCGACACCGGAAACCCTAACCCCGGAAGCTCCACGCCCTTAGCTTCCTTAAAGGGAACTCCAGAAAGTTGGAATATGGATTCATGGTAGGATCCCCTATAATTTACCTTAAAGGGGTTACGATAATGATATTCCAACTTTCTGGCTTCTACTGTAGTGCAAGGTACTGGAGCGCCCAGCAGCGCTACTACGGGGAGAATGAGGCTGGGCTCGCCCCGGAGAGAGACGGACCCAAAGACAGGGCTTTGGACTTTCGGGTTTAGGGCAACCCTAACCCCTAAACCCCTAAACCCCCAAACCCCTAACCCCTAAACTCTGAACCCCTAAACCCTTAACCCCCTAAACTCTGTGGTTTGAGCATTGAAGGGCTTGGGTTGAGGCTCTTTTCTAGGATTCTGGAGGGGTCTTTGGAGAAGCGCTGGCGTATATTGGTATGGCGAAGGATTCTATACCCACGAAGCCCCTGAAAATTCCGACCCGACCGGGCCTCACCCTAAACCGTGAACCCTACAGCTGAAGCCCTAAACCCGAAACCCTTAACCCCAAACCTCATACCCTAAACCCTAAACCCTAAACCCTAAACCCTAAACCCCAAACCCCAAACCCCAAACCCTAAACCCCTAAACCCCTCAACCCAACCCCTAAACCCGAAACCCTTAACCCCAAACCTCAAACGCCAAACTCTAAAGCCGAAGAAGAGCCCCGGCCAGAGGCTTACGACACTTGCTCGGATTACACCGACGGTCAGATGTTCAAGGTACAAACAGGGGTTGTGGTTGTTCATCGTAAATCAGGGTTTTAGGTTGCTTTTTCAAGGTGTTTTTGGGTTTGGTTTTTTCGTTCAAAAGGATTTTTCGGGTTTTGGGGTTTAGGGTTTCAGGCTTTACGGCTTTACGCTTCTACATCATCTTGTTGCAAGTCCTAATACCCCCCAAACCGCACACTCCAAGCCCCAACCTGCATTCCTACACCCAAAACCATGTCCCCCACATCCGAAACTTTCGACTCTAAACCCTACACCCTGGACCCTTTAAATTCTCGTAATCCCTAGAAGGTCGGCACCCTGTGTGCTTTCCCTCACGCTTTTCGGTGTTGGGGGTTTTAGGGTTTAGGGTTTAGGGGTAAGGACGTGGGTTCTGATTGTAACGGCGACCACTCAGATAAAAGCCGGTATTGGCAGCGTTCTTGCGACGTTCTCAGCATTGATGCACTGTCACAAGCATTCGTGCCTCGTGCCAGCATGCCCAGCCGCAGGTATTTACAGCGTTTCGCAGAAATTACGGCTTTCTTGCAGCTTCATCAATATTGACACACCGTCACCTTCTACGAGAATGCTCAAAACAGCGGCATTTACAGCATGTCTGCCTGTTTGCAAGACATACTATACGATCATCAATATCTGAGCGCAAAAAAATTAGTTCTTAGAGGTTCTGAAACCACCTATGTTCACAAGTCCCACACTTGCCAAGTGAACACGCTTGACGCATCCAAAACCAGACGGGAAAAAGAAGGCACGTCAACCTCGAAGGTCCTTCTCACAAAAGAAGGATACCTTCACACAGATCGAAAGACGCAACCGCACCTCCGCACTTGCTGACAGAACCCTCAGCCCTGAACCATAAACCCTAAGCCCTAAACCGTAAACCCCAAGCCCTAAACCCTAAACCCTAGGCCTTTAAACCCCAAACCCTGAACCCTAAGCCCTAAACCCTAAGCCCTAAACCCTAAGCCCTAAACCCTAAGCCCGAAAAACCCCGAGCCTGCGCTGGCAGACCTTCTGCGACATGCACTGCATCGAAGATGCGGTGCTGAAGGGAAACTCGGCCATCCTCAAGTCTCTGAAGACGCAGGCTCGGTTGATACATTGTATATATATATATACACACATATTTATTTTATACTTATGTTATATTTATATTATATTTATGTTATATTTATATTATATTTATATTATGTTTATATTTTCTAATTATATTTATGCAGATATAGGTATTGATATAGATAGATAGATAGACACATACATATGCATCTACGTATGTGTGTACGTCTGTACGAATGCTTTCATGTTACATTTCCTACAGACTGAGTGCTTTTTGCATGAGGCCGTTTTCTTCTTGTAGTCTACTGCTCAGGCTATAAATACTATCCGAAAAGGTCTAGGCCGTCCTTATGGACTACAACTGTAGCTTCAGGATTTTCGGGTTCGTTGTGTCGGGTTTTAAAGTTTAGGGTTGTAAGGGTTGGAGTTTCGAAGGGCTTCCAAGACCGGACCAACAGGAGACTCACGTCGTGACCACGCTGCACGACATGCTGAAGTGGTATCTTTGGGCCCCCCTTCAGTACCCTTTTTTTCGCAGTTTGTTTTCGGTTTGCAGCGGGTTTGTCTCAAAGGATGTATACAGTAAAAGCCCAAAGGTTGGAAACCCAATAGCCGCAATCCTCAAGATCAATGTATACGGAATCCCAGCACTGTTTGGCCTTAATCCGGTTTTCTTTTTTGTGGGGTTTACTGTAGGTGTATCCGGGTGTGCAGGTTTGTGTTGGGACCTCCTTATCTGACACTGAGCGATCGGTGAAAGGGTGGTTATTCTCAGCCCTAAACCCTAACCCGTGCACTTAGTTCTGCGGAGTCTAGGTATACCACCGAGCTCTTTGACAAGCTGAAAGAGACCCAAGATCAGAGCTCTCAGCACCTGGGCTCTTGTTTAAGGTTTAGGGTTGTTAACAAACCCTACTTTAAGCTGCGATAGTGACGAAAAGCAACTGACTTGCTAGACATCACCGCTACAGCTATTTAAACTATGGTCAACCCGTGCAGAGTCTTCGTGCCCTTGGTAACCCTCTATGAATCCATTGTAATGTAGAAGACAGAAAGTCACGACTACGATTCCTTGGCGTTCCTTATTGTACCATGCCCTAAAAACCCAATTCTAGATATAAAGCCCCACTTAACCCGAAAGCCTACACCCCTCTTCTCCAAAAGCCCTTCGCACGCACCCAGGAATTTCCTTGAGCAAGAGCGGGTTCTAAAGGCATATTTCGAGCAGATGGCTGATATGGAGACGGGCTACGCGAACCAGGCCGGGCAGGATGTATATGGAGGACTGCATGATATTTACAGTGGGTTCTAAACGGCTTTCAATCGGGTTGTACAGGTTGTTTCTACGTTTGATACGGCTTTATCAGGGCTTCCCGGACGGGGGCAAGGGGTTTGGGGTTCAGGGCTTAGGGGCCACTTTTGCTCCCACACTCAAGGTGAACACGCAGATCGATCAGTTGGGTGTGGATATCAACAGTCGCTTCAAGAGCAACGTGGATCACCTCAACGTCCTGCAGAAGCACCTGAAGACAGTGAACGACAACATCATCAGTCTGGCCAACTGGCTGGGAAACCAGCCTATGTTTGCCACCGACGATGACCACAGTTTCACACCTCCGCACTCCGTCCTGCTCCTTGCAAGCAAAATAGGAGGTGAAGTCAATACTGTCGCAAGACTAGGCCCCAGATAAGTCTTGAGCCCTAAGCCCCTACCATAACATCAATTTCAGCCCTGAATCTGAGATCCCACCCCAAAACACTGCCCACACTCCTGGAGCCTAAACGCCTAAACCCTCCACCCACAACCGAGGCAGGGCGCGGACCCATCGAGGATCGTAGACACCAAAGGCGGGTCAGTGCAGAAGCCTCCACACGTAGAGGCGCAAGAGACTCTTGTATGGAGCAGCAAAGCGTCTGAGGCCTTCAAGCTCAGAGTTTTAGGGTGGGGGGTTTAGGGATACTATCACGGTTACAACATAACCATGCCAAAAACAACCCCATGCTTATTATGCAGGCCCCCGTTATGAAGCTGTTCAGGTTCAGGGTTTAGGGTGAAGAGGGGCTGAGGTTTTTCGATCAAGAGCACCCCAAAACCCTCGCACATAAATCCTCAGGCCTTATCCCTTAACCCTAAACATCCCTAAACCCCAAACCGTCAAGCCTTCACCCCTAAACCATAAATCCTTAAACCATGAATCCTTAAATTTCATCCCTAGGCCCTCAATCCTCAACCCGAACCCTGAGTCCGAATCTGTCACGAGCAGTCGTAGCTAGAGCTTGGGCCCTCCAAGCCCTTGTGCAGGGCCCGGCCTGAACTATCAAGAACATCTACTTTGGGGGTCCTTGTTATAAGTGTAGCGTAGTATCCCCCCAAGCCTTCTTCCAATGATTAAGCTCCCTATACCCCTAAACCCGAAAGCCTGAACCCTAAACCCTATTCTAATGATTGAACCCTAAACCCTATTCTAATGATTGAGCTCCTTATACTAAATCCGCTTAGAAAACTTATACTAACCCTGACAGTACCTGCTTTAAGGGAACTGTATTCTAATCCTTAAGCTCCCTATACTACACCGACGGACCGACTGAGACTTGAGGAACTTTGGTGCGGCACAGATGGCTTTAGCCGACCTTCTGGCTCAGATTCACCGAGCTTATGGCGACCTGGCTTTGGGTTTAGGGTTTAGGGCTTAGGGTCTAGGGTTTTAGGGTTTAGGGTCGAAGGTCTAAGGTTTAGGGTTTAGGGTCTAGGGTTTAGGGTTTACCGTCGAGGTTCGGTTTTGGGTCTAGGGTCTAGGCTAGGGTTTAGGGTTTAGAGTTCGGCTTTGCGTTAGGGCTTTGGAACCAGGATCGGCATTTAAAAAATAATTGCATGCCAATCTCGAAGGGCCTTGCCAACCGTGAGAAAGGTTTCCGAGACTAAGCCAAACAGCGCCGAATCCTCAGCCCTAAATTAGCCTCTAGACCTGATTCCAAAGCCCCCAAAACCTAAACCCTGAACCCTGATCCTAAAGCCTAAACCCTAAACCCCCCTAAACCCTAAAGCCTAAACCCAAAACCCCAAAACTCTAAACCCCTAACCCTAAACCCCTAATCCTAAACCCTCAACTCAAATGGCTACGGCTCAAGCTGTTGGCCCGAGACTCTTTCGAAAACCCTTTTCCAGGTCCCTGCCCTCGCTGATAGGTGGCTGCTCTTCATTGAGGTGATCCCGTGCGGCCAGTTCCTCTTCTGGACCTACGAGAGCGTTCCCCTTTGGCATTTCGGACGAGCTTGTGATCTGGCGGCCACTTGGAGGACTTCTGCTACCTGTTCGCCTGTGCACAACGTGGTTCTGTTCTGGGGTGACTTGCATTGGGGCACTCTGGAACGCGAGGGCGAGGTCTGGCTTCTTGTGGGACGACATTGACAAAGTGAACGTCATTCTCTGTCTGGTCGTGCTTCCGGTGTTCTCTCCTCCCTCTTGGCGGTGAACCCTCGTCTTCAGGATGGAACCTGAACCAATGGAACACGAGGAAGAGAAGGGATCACCAACTGAGTTAGCGGAGTCCGAAGCCGAGCAAAACACCGTGGAGAAGATGGACCTGGAAGTGAAGCAAGAGACCAGAAAACGTGAACGTCCATCTCGTTCTCGGAAGGTTGTCCGTGATCCCGCTTTTGCTCAAGTTGTCCCTGTCTTGGATGAAGATGATGACGACGACCTCAACTCCCCTACCAAACGACCTCTTCATGGCGATGCACCCTTGAGTGGCAATGAAATACGTGAACTCCTATTCGGCCACGTCACGGAGATGAAGGAGGCTTGGAGAAGCTTTCAAGGTCGTCTTGATCGAGTGGAAAGCGAGCAACTTCAACATGGGCACGAAATGATCAACATTCGCACTAGAGCTGCTGCCCTCGAGAAGACAAGCACCAACTTACAGACGACCCAAATCAAGGTCAACAAGAGCCTGGAGGAGTTGGCGGAGGATGTCAAGAAGATGAAGGTCCGGATTGCGGAAGTGGAAAAGCGTCCGACTGAGAGCAGAGCCATGGCCGCGGGTGGAAATGGACTTCCTGGAGATGTACCTCAACCGAAAGATGCCCCAGTGGATCCTTGGGCTGCCTTTTACCGCAACCGCGATCGAGGAAGTGGGGAACGAGTCACTTCGGCTGGGACGACAGGGGAGATTCCTTCGGGATCAAATGATCGTGGGGGTGACTTTCTCTCTGAGGACGAAAAGAAGACTCTCGTTGTTGGAGGGTGGGCGAGAGATACGAAGCGCACCATCATCGAGGAGGAGAGTGCTGCCCTCCTGAACACCGATGGGATCAAAGCCCTGATCGACGTGGAGAAGTTGTCGGTGTTTGGTCCTCGACGATCAGTTGGGATGATGAAGTTCGTTCAACGTGAGGGTGAATCTTTGGCGGACGTTAAAAACAGAATGTGGGCAGTCATCAAACTCTTCTCTGCCAGCAAGGTCGAACTTCCAAGTACACGTGAATTTGGGGCGGTAAAGACCATGTGGGCAAGTTTCGTCAAAACCAAGGCCGCGAGAGCTAAGAGTTCGCTTGTTTCTCTTACGAGACGTGTATCCTGCGAGCTTGCCATGAATACAAAGAATGGAGAGGGAGGCATCAAGTTCCTTGAGAACACCCAGCCGGGAGCCTACGATTGTGACTGGAACATGGGCACAATATGGTGCGGAAGTCACAAACTAGCGAGCGCAACTCTCAGACCGCCACGGGACGGCGAGCACGTGCTCCTCTCTGCAGGCTGGGTGTCCCTTGATGCTGTCTCTGCGACCACTGGATGCACGACGGAGGAGGCGAAGGCCGCCTTCGAACGCGAACTTTGAAGGTCCGGGGCGAATTGTTTCACTCAAGAGAATTCAGATGATGACTGGGAAGATGTGAAGGCCTCCTCCAAGGGACGACTTTCCAAACCTCCCCGGCTCTCCTCGTGTGCAAGACATCGATGGGGACGTGTTTCACAATGGAACTTAGCTGGTCAGGGTATGAAGCTTCTTGATCTGGCAGCAGCTGATTCGGAGATTGTCATGGCACAAGAAATCGCTCGTGGAAAGGAAGGCTGGGATCGTGTGAATACGGACGAGTTCGTTTGGATCTCACATCGTCATCGAGAACAGTGGAGGGGAGTTGCAGTTGGAATCGCACATGATAGGCTCGACTGTGTCATTCATCGCATTGCGACCCCAAGAGGAATCTGGGTTCTCCTTCGTCTACATGGACTTGGTCGGGTAGTATGTGGGAGCTTCCATGCCCATACTGGAACAACTAATGTGATCTACCAGAAGGCTGTTGGTGAATTCTTCAGCAAACTTCCAGCTAAATGGAAACACCTTCCCCTGTTCTGTGGAGTTGATGCCAATGAGGTCCCACTGTGGGACGTCTTGGAATCGAATGAACTGGAGATTGGCCATTGTTCAACCAACCTCAACCTGATGCTTGGTGAGATTCAAGATGCAGGCTGTCGAGTTCTTCCTCCTGGCATTGGACAACGAACAGCCCCGACCCACTTCCCTCGCGATGAAACCAGAGAAGGCCGACAAATCGATCTCCTCTTCGTACGAAAAGTCGGATGTGAGCAGGTCATCTTTGACGCCGACAGGCGGCATACCATCAATACCGATCATGCCTTCGTCTTCTCCGATGTGTTTGTCAACGGTCCGCTTCCTGAACGTCGATGGGGAAACGATTCTCGTGCAAGATGGGTGACCGGTACTATTCCTGACTCTGTTCTTGTCGATGCCGAAGACATCACCTGCCTTGCTCGCGCTCACACACGCCCTCGTCGCCCTCAAGCCTTCCGAGATAGCGAAGAAACCAGGTCTGCCATTAAAGAGGCCAAAATTGCGAAGTCAAAGGCTGCTTGGAAACGAGTGCACCGCCTCCGGCGACGTGATCGCACTGAGTGGGAAGATGCTCGACTTCGCCGGATTCTTCTCAGGGGGTGGGAAGAGTTTCGTTCTCTTCAGAATGAAAAGAAGAAGAAGAAGGGATGGTGGGGAGACATGCTTGATGGCAAGCCCTCTGCAGTCCTGACGAAGGAAGTTCAACAGCACTTGGCTGGGAAGATGATCACGCCTGACAAAGCGAACTGGGATGACGAATTGGATGAGATTATCAAGACTGTGCCGAATGAGGGGGACTTTGTCGACTTCACCATCCTGGAGGTCAGGACAGAGCTGCGTCAAATGAGATGCAGAAGCGCCATTGGCCCTGATGGTATAAGTGTACATCTCCTTCGCGAACTTGCAAGTCATGACAGTCTCAGTGATCAACTTGTGGGCTTGATCAACCATATCGTGAAGACACAAGAGACGCCGGAGAATTGGAATGTCAGCTTCCTTGCGTTACTCGCCAAATGTAGCTGTCCTCGTCGTCCGAAAGATCTTCGACCCATCTGCGTGAGCTCTGCTTTCAACAAACTTGTCAACCGCCTTGTCTGCATGAGAGCATTGCCTAAATTGCGAAGAGGTTCTTGTATTTCTGCTTGTGGAAGAGGACGACAAGCAGCCGATCTCATCGGCGGCATATCCCGAATCCGGGACGTCATCCACGAATGGCGCATGCCAGCCCTTCTATGCAAACTTGACGTGGCAGGAGCTTTTGATCGTGTCGATCGCAACAAGGTCGCGAGTTTGCTCTGTGAAAGACTTAGTGGCGAACGACTGTCCAGTGAATTGCGTTTTCTCCTTGGACAATTGCACACACATGAATTGGTTGGCACTGTCCCGGGAGGAAATGAGATTCGGCTTCGTCCCAACAATGGGATTAAGCAAGGTGCGCCTGAGTCTGCAGAAATCTTTGGGATTCTGATTGATTCCCTCCTCTCTGACCTTGTCGCCTGTCGGGGCTGGAATGGTATGCCTGGCTTGGCTGAGGACTTCAATGTCGATCTTCTCTTTTACCAGGATGATGTCTTTCTTGTTGAACAAGATCTGGGAAGACTTATCAAGCGCATTCGCATCGTTGACCGTTGCCTGGGGACAGCAGGCCTGAGTCTTGCGACTGAGAAGACTATGATCATCGCAAGTCCTCAATATCGTGGACCACGCTCTGCCAAAATTGGGGATGATTACTTTTCCATTGCGGCAAAGGAAGACTCGTTGCGAGCACTCGGAGTTAGTTTCAACTTCCACGAGAGTCCTTCTCAACAGGCTCAAGAAATGCTGGGACGTGCACGTGCTGCAGCTGCATCGCATGCCGATATCCTGGGTGCTCATGGACCCTGGACTAAGAAAGTCGACATGCTTAGGTATCTTGTTGAGTCGACCTGGTCGTGGTCAGCAGGTGCGCTACACTGGAGCTCCCAAGATCTGCATGCAGCCAACACGTTGCAGCTGCACCTCCTGCGCAAGGCCTTCAAGCTCAGGAGACTGGCTGATGAGTCGTGGGTTTGCTGGAACCAAAGAACTTTGAGATTCTGCAGGGTATGGCTCCACAATAACGGTGTCGAAAGATGGAGCCGGAAGATTCTCGCTCTCCAACACAATCTTCATGGTCACTGGGCAAGACGTAAAGAACTTGATCGGCGAACTGGGGAAACGGGACCATGTTTGCCTATGCGAGCGTTGCTCTGGAGAAGTACCAGATGGTGGCGTGGACAACAGGCGTGCAGCCGATCATCAAGTATGCGGCACCCTTGTCGGTTCTATGCCAGTAATCCTGAACGTCAAATCGCTGACACCCAGGGAAGTGATTGGTTCATTGGAGCCCTTGATCGGCACGCCTGGGGCCTCGCCAGAGAAGCTTATGTACACATGTGGGATGTTAGGTGGACCAGCGGCAGACAACTTGCTCTTCGCTTCTAAAAACTCGATGGCCTGCCTGATGAAGTGCCTGTCGCTGAGCGTGCAGACATGTTCGAGTTTTCTGCGTACACCTGTGTCCATGTGAGTCTCATCGTTACTTGAAGACCTTCATGCATGCTTGCCGTGGATGCTGCTTTATTTGAGATGTGCCTACTTGGCACTTTCGTCTGGTTTGACAGGATGATCTTGATTTGACAGTGCCTGAACTTGAATCTGCTTGAACTCGATGAACTTGGAATGTCGCAGTGAATGAAGTTGTGAACTTTGAATTGTGGCTCCAGTGCAAGGTTACGAAAACCCGCGCCTTCCCTCGCTGTCTTCGCGACGGCACCACCTTTCTTAATGGCACCCATCTTCCGCGTGCTCGCTTTACTTTGGTTTGCTTGGTCGTGGTGCACAGCTGCCGCCTGGGATGAGGAGTCTGATGATGAACGCACTGGGGGAAATGAACCTGGGCAAGCTTCGTCTTCTTCGTCTTCGAGGTGGAGAGCACCGGCATCAACGTCGACCTCGCCATGGACCTACCAGCAGTACGTGGAATTTATGGCGGTGGCCTGGGATGAAAATGTTTCCTTGGCTGCTCAGGAACAAGAGCTCCGTGACTACGAGGACGCCTTCCTTGCCGAAGAGTCGCTTCTGTCCGAGGCCGTGATCGCACCCTGCGCCGATGATCTACCTTTACCCTTTTCTGCCGTCACGTCCAACGGTGTGACCAGGGATGAGGAAGACGGCTCAGTTGGGGAGACCTCGAACAACATCATGGACCTACTGAGTGATGGACGTCAACTTCGTGGCGGACGACCTCTCTCTTGTGGCGAGGATGACAGGACTGCTGGACGCCTGTCTCCGCTTATCCCGTCTGTGGACCGTGAGACGACCTCGTCGTGTTCTGCATCGGCACCCTCGGAGTGGACTGCTCGCCCATCGCTGGTCGCTGAGGCTGGCAATGACTATGTTGGTGAACCTGACCCCTGGGGTGCAGTTTGGAAAGACAGGGAGTTTGCGGTGGACGACCCGACGACCAGCTCCTCTTCCTCCTGGACCACGCCCTGTACACCGCTGACATGGTCTTCATCGCCTACGTGGTCACCCTCTTCGCGAGCTACGAGTTGGACATCGGCATCTTCTACCAACCATGCACCTCTATGCCCAGCACTCCAGGATGACACTGATTGTGGCGAAACTGCACCCTCAACTCAGCCCAGTGGATCTTCCCTCGGAGCTGAACATGTTGATGAGGGATGGACGCAGCGCTTCAATCGTGCACGACCGGGGCGAGATCGCTGGCACAATGCCGACGGGTCCATCCGAGTCCGACTGCAGGAAAGGCAAGCAAGGCAGGCCCGACTTGATTCCATTGCAGAGTCAGATCCCGCCTTCACCATCGAAGGTATCGAAAACACCAACGAGGGCCCCATCGCACACGGGAAGACTTTCTATGGCGAACACTTCACTGTTTCCACAAGTGGTATGGGTGCAATCGTTAACGACTCCACGTCTGCGGGGGAGGATACTACCACCCCAGTGGAAGAGTCAGATGATCTGGATTACGATGGACAGCCCTTACCAGGACCCGTCGTGAACTCACCCGATGTTCCCGACGTTCCTGATGACGAAATGACGTCCTCTTCGGAGACAAGTGCCACGCCAGGAGAGGTTGGCTTTTGGAGGCATGGAGTTTGGGTAGGCCGTCCACGAACACCTGCGGAACTACGTGATCACCGAGGTGGCGGAGGTATGCAGCGGTGGCTAAAGAACCAACGACGTATGAGAGAATATTTCCGAGGACAATGGCGACCGGCCTGGTTAGTCCAGTATGCCCGGGACAAAGCCGGCAGACAACAGCAACTGTCCTCCAATGCTACGACGTCTACACCTTCATATGATGCTCCTTCGATGGAGTCTGGGGGGACGAACGGTCAAACGACGAGTTCGCCCAGCAATGATCCCACTGTGTTGTCCACATCCGATGAGCAGACGACGAGTTGGAGCTGGACATGGACGGGCTGGGGCACATGGACCTGGCAACAGTGGAGTACATGGGATGGTTGGTCGTGGACAACGGAAACAACCACAACAAGAAGTAGATGCTCGACCTCGTCTTCTCCCGCATCGTTGGCTGTGGATGCGCCAACAATGGTTCCCAGTTTGGCGACCTCTTCGACCTCGTTCTCGGCCTCCTGTACTACCACCACGTCGCACTCTTGGTCTGCCGATTCGGTGTTTGGGACGTCTTGTTGGAACGCAGAGAGTACTACGAGTACCTCCACGCTCTCCACGACCCTACCTCTTCCTCCCAACTTCGGCTTGTTCCCTGATGTTCACCCCGTGGGCAGTAGTGTCTTTGTGCCGACTGTGGTGGAGGAATCTGAGGAGGACAGTGATGACGACCTGCAGCTCACGAATGCTGAACGCAGGTCACTTGAAGAGCGTGGAGTGACCAGATCCATGATCGACAGGCTCGAGAACCTGATGCGCTCCCTTGACCGCATGCAAGATGAGGGACGTGGTCCTGAAGGCCGCCTGGTTGAGGGGATTGACGCGTTAGAGGCCATCTATCGTGTCCTGTCCAGGAGGTTCATCCCCCAGGGTTACCTTCCAGTGAGACGCATTCCACATCGTGAAGAAGACAGATGGCGAATGTTTAATTGGGCGCGCAACTACATGGATGTGTTCTTGACTACGCTTGAGCAGCACCTCAACACGCGCTTGCAGCCGGCTGATTCTGAGATCTCCCCTATGGCTCCAGCGGATTCCCATAGTGCTGCTTCTGGGCCGTCCCTGCACAGTGAAAATGCGGACAGTTCGGGGGGACCAGCCACGTCTACGACACCGGCGAGCTCTGGAAGTGGAACCCGGAGAAGAGCTGCAAGACGTAGGGCTAGAAGGACCAGGTCTCGCAGCCCCAGTGGAACAACAGTGCATTTTCCCACCATGGACAGTGAGTTCGCGCTCAATTCGGCCGATGAGTTGGTGGAGGTACCTCCTAGATCACCAACACTTGGCCCATTTGGACCTCCGCCTCCGCTCCCTGTCAACTTGCCGACCAATTTCATTGGGGAGGAATTACAGGGTATCTGGCGTGAACCTGTCGAAGAAGAATCAACATCTGACACTGGAGCCGCAGGCAGTCACGAGACTACGTCGACAAGTACTACGTTGGGATGTTGGAAAATGATGCCTTGGACGACTTCTACAACGTCGACCTGGACTTGTACAACGACAACCTGGACTACGACGACCTGGACTTCAACAATGTGCCCCACGTCGTCGCTCTTGGTCTCCCCTGTCCACAACGGCTCAATGATGAATGGTGAGTTGGGTGACCCCTTTCTGCACTGCCTGCCGAGCACATCTTCTACGACCTCGATGACATTGCAGACCGAAGCACCTCCGACATTGACATGGCCCAGTGACGTGATCAGGGATGTTGTGAACACCAACATGGTACATGGTGGCCAGGTGGATGTAATTGAGACCATTCTCCGCCTGCTTACCCAATTGCGTGGACTACGTCATCGTGAGCGTCTTCTACTTGAAGCGATTGAAGAAGCACTGGAATGGGTAACAGTGCCTTTAGAAGCCACGCCAATGAATGCAGGTATCTACGAGCGGGCCATCCTGGAGGCGGTGAATAGAGAAGCCCAATTCGGGGATGAACCTTCATCGAGCTCTACACATCAGGTGGTGACCTCGCCTTCGTTCTTGCTCACGCCAAACTTGCCCTACTCGCTGCCGAATGTGAGCAATCAGCTTCCGGAGTCCTCACCTTCGACTCTTGCTGGCCTGCGTCGTCGCATGTGGAGGGCTCACCTGGCCAACCTGCATCATGCACAAGGACGTGAGCCTCCTTTGGGCAGTTGGCCAAATGAAGATGACGAAGCTTTGTATCTTGTTCAACAAAATGAGGATGCAGAGATTGCAAACTGGCCTGCTGGAATACCACGACCACGTGTTCTTCGCCTTGGAGCTGTTCGTCGACCTGGTGGTGAACGTATACCTCGTGGACGTCGTCGCCATCGTACTCTTCGTCCGCCACCACGGTTTGCTCGCCCTGGACACCGAGCATCAGATTTGACTCTGAATCAAGGGACACTTGTTAATGGAAGTTCGCATCTCTCACATCGCAGTGGTGGGGCTCAGGGTCGTCACGGAGGAGATTCGTACGAATTACGCCGTCGTCGTCTTGTGAACTCGAACAACGACCTTGACTACTATCGTGAACGCAGTCGTAGCCGGGACGGCTAAGAACTTCAGGTAGCACAGCTTTACGCTATTTCAGACTGTGCAGTGTGCTCTTTTGGGAAGTGTTTTCTTGAGGGCGGGCCTGAGAATGTGCCTTGGGCTCTCTGTGTAGTGTATGCCGAGACTGGCGGGCTCAGATCCTGCTCTGCTGCGAGACGGAAAGGGGCCATTGCACTTTAAAAAAAAAAAAAACCCCTCAACTCAAGCCCTTCCGCCTTGTTAAGGTGTGGACTCTGCGAGCGACGAGGAGCAAATCGTACCGCTGCTCTCTGGTCTTCAAGCGGCTTCGTCCTCGCTAAGGTTTGGCGTAGATGCTCTGTTGTAAGGGAAGCAGCAGCAAGTCTCTGTCGAGGTTTAATAATTAAGGTTTAGGGTGGTTGTTCGTGTTCATTTCAGGGGTTTACAAGGGCTTTTATTGGGTAGTAGGGGTCTTGCCGCAGTAGGAAGATATTCTCTGGGTAAACGCTTATAGGCACCCATAAAACCGCGCACAAAACGCCCTCACACAGCCCCTGTCAATCCAATATGGAAGCCTGAATAATCAACAAGACGACTGTTCCTTACTGCCCATACTATCTATCGAATCATACCCCAAAGCCCCACTGAATGTTAATGCCCCCCTAGACAAAACTCCATAGAATACTGAAAAGAATCGGCAAAGCGATCCTATTGACAAAGAATGTCAAGACCCCTGCAGTTACTCTCCTGATCAACAGCTTAGCCCACAACCCTGAGGCCTAAAGCCCAAGCCCTGAAACCTCAAGTCTAAACCCCTAAGCCCTAAAGCTTCCCTAAAGCCCTAAAACCCTAAAAAGCCCTAAAACCCTAAACCCCAAAACCCTAAAACCCTAAACCCTAAAACCCTAAACCCCCAAAGCCCCCAAGAAAACCCTAAACCCTAAAGCCCTAAACCCTAAAACCCTGAAAACCCCAAACCCAGGCGGAGCTCCATCAACTTCGCCATCAGCTGCTCCCCTCACCCGAGGTGGGCTGTGGCTCTTTGAACCACATGGTATTTCGGGTTCCTGGGTTTAGGGGTTTAGGGTTTAGGGGTTTAGGGTTTAATGGTTTGGGGTTTAGGCGTTTAGGGCTGAGGGAGTTTAGGAGTTTAGGGTCTTCTCGTATCATACCTCGTATTATAGGGGCCTTCATACAGAAACCCTATTCTAATCATTCATGCCCCTATATTATAGTACCCTTATGGATCCCTTATGGTAGGCCTTATAGGCCCCAAAGTCTGGGCAGAAACCCTATTCTAACCATTAATGCGCCTATTGCCCCTCTAGCACACCAGATCCAATGCCTCGATCCACACATGTGGCATTTGCCTCAGGCAGCCGTGAACGCCAGCCGCGCAGTGGTGCAGGAATCGGGTTTCTAAGGGCTGTTTAGGGGGTTTTAGGGGTTTAGGGGTTGAGGGGTCGAGGGGTTTTAGTGGTTTAGGAGTAGGCTTTCCCCTGATATATATTTTTTCGCGACCAGGGATAGAATGCAGATCCCGATGTTATGTTCTGGAATCATGCTCAAGGTACCCTATGTAACCCCAAAGCCTAAACTCCTGAAGAACCCGAAGCCCTAACCGGACGCGAGAGACTGCATTTGGCAATTGAAGCCTGTTTCAATTTGCAAAAGCCTTGTAACGACCTGTCTACTGGAAAAGCTTGCTTGAAAGTCTTATCACGTACACAGCCTTGCAACATACAAGCCTTAGAAAGCGGACGTTCGTCCCGACCTGGACTACTAAAGGGCTTTGTAGCAAGCTATTTGCGGGGTCTGCTTTCTACATTCACCCGAAGGTTCTACGCCTCAAAAAGCCTTTTCAGAGCCTTTCCATGGCAGGTTCAAGCCTTCTAAGGGGCTATACCCTAAACCTAAAACTGTTCCTTAAACGGCTATAACCCTAAACCCTACACCCTAAACCCTAACCCCCAAGTTCTCCCCTCCCCCAAGTCCAGCAAAGCGACCCTAAAGCTCCTAAACGCCAAAAACAAGCCCGGCGAAAGGACACCGAAATCTCAAACTCTCAAGCTCCTAACTCCTATAGACCCAGAAACCTTTGCAATAAGATCCCAAGCCCTATAGTACTCTTTATATAGATCCTTTTAAGGGAACGTTCATGGCCCCCCTTCAGAGGAACCCCAAACCCCAAACCCTAAACCCCACCCCAACGATCGCAGGCCCTGCGGCAAGCTACGACCGGTCTTGGGGCCTTGCCAAAGCAAGGCGTGGAGGCGACCTTCCAGCGACGAAGCTCGTCGCGTTGGGGTTTAGGGTTTAGGGGTTTAGGGTTTAGGGTTTAATGGTTTACGGGTTTAGGGTTTAGGGCTTTAGGGGTTTAGGGGTTTGGGTTTAGGGTTTACGGGTTTAGGGGTTTAGGGTTTGCGGGTTTAGGGTACAGGGTTTAGGGGTTAGCGTCTCTACTTGAGGGGGCCCTAGTGTAAGCAATTGCTGCATATCAGGGTTTTTGGGTGCGATGAGTCGGATTCTATGATTTCCTTGGGCGCTATAAGGTTCGCATCAAAGGACTTAGCTTTACTTCAAGGTTTTTGGTTTCAAACGACGGCTTCGGGTGCAGCGTTCAGGTATTTAATGGGTGCTACAAGGACATATAGGGGGTCTTGTTAAGGAGTTTAACTTCCGATACCATCGTGCGGATTGGGTACGTCCTTACATATAATGCGCTTTACAAGGGCGTATCTTGACCTGAAGTACCATCATAGGGTTTTCTAAGAGCTGTTATGTCTGTTATATGCGACGTCTGGACAGTGGAGGCTAAGGAACTTACTCTCGCATACCGTAGTAGCCAGGTTTTCAATAGTACAGCTTCTAGGTGGAATGCCTAGTTCAAGCTGAGGTGGTCTTATTGCTTCTTTAAAGAGTTTGTATAAGGTGGCGAAGCCCTAAACCCTAAACCAAAAGAGCCTAGGAAGCCAAGCGGCCCTGAAGCCTGCTGTGCGACGATGGCAGAAGCAAGCGTCTGAGCTCTTCCTAAGGAGCTACTTTTCAAGTTACCAGTTGGGTTTCAGGGTTTAGGAATTCATTGGAGTATTTCAAGGTTTACGGGGTCTTAAGGAACGTATATTAAGCTGCCACATGCTGGCAAGTAGGCTTCCCTTGTTGTGGTAGCTTAAGTTAAGTTCCTGCACAAGACCCCAGGCGTTGGTGGTGGCGGGTATTTCCTCCAGCCTTTCGCAGTTTGGTATGAGCCCAAGCTTCACGAGCGTGGACCGGGATGGACAACAGGACCGGCGCTACGACTACCAGAAGCTGATGACGTCAATCCACCGCGACGTCAGCGAGTCTGGGCTCTTGTTGTGGAATTTAGTTTAAGTTACCATGATAAGGAACCCATACCTTAAACCGTAAACCCAGGAGTACATCCAGAAGGCGAAGGTGCATGTGAATGCCCACAAGAGCACGCTGCTCCAGTTGCTAAGTGCAAATGCCACGCAGCTTGGCTTGTACTGGTGGCTCAACAGAGCAACGAAGCCACGAAGCCATAATTGGCTAGACCACGGCGAATTTGGGCTGAAGGAGCTGCGAGTGTGTAGGATTCCAATACCTCTTACCGTAGGAACCTGATTAAGAGACCTTGGGCCAATGTCCTTATTAGGGTTTGTAATACGGATCCACCTATATATATATATGTATGTATGTATGTATGTATGTATACAGTGGGGTTAAGGGGCCAGGGTTTCTTAATCAGGTTCCTACATGAACCAAGAGCCAACCTGTTGAAACATCCTTACCTTGACGCAAGGATGTTTTTCCCAGCTCAGAGATGTGGCAGTTTCGGAATTTTGCGTTCGCAGTTCTAAATCACAGCCCACAACCCAAACCCCCAAACCCCAAACCTTAACCGTTAAGCCATCAGGATTGAGCTCGCCTCAACCCTAAAGTAAAAGCCAGAAAGTTGGAATATGACTATCCTAAACCCTTTATGGTAAATTATAGGGTATCCTACCCTGAAACCATATTCCAACTTTCTGGAGTTCCCTTTAACCCTAAACCCCTCGCAGTCAAAGGCAGAGCTGCAAGTCGAACGTCGTGGAGACCGGCCGCCTCGTTGCCGAGATGCAACGTACGGAGGAGGTGCCTCAGAGGTCACATGTGATACTGTTCGGGCTGGGATTTAGGGCTTTCTTGCTTCCTTCTGGCCGAATCTGTCCTTCTTCCGTTTCCACAATTCTCTGGCTTCTCTTCATTTCTGCTTGCAGTTTCTTCGGGCCCTTGTCTTATGATCTAAACCCTAAGCCCTAAACCCAAGGACCACGTTCTGTCGCTGCTCCGCACCTGGAAGACCTTGGCTGAGAACTTGGACTCCCTGGCAAACCTCCTGGTGGGAAGGGGGCGGATTGCTATGCGTTTGGGGTTTAGGATTTAGGATTCAGGATCGAGGGCTGGTGGTTTACTACGAGGGGGGGGTCTTTTTTTGTTCATTTGCTACTCCTCCGGCAAAAGGATTGGGGGATTGCGAGACGTAGACCGTAGCCGAAGCCCTAAACCCTAAACCCTAAGGCTGTCGAGGTTGCTGGGGCAGGATTTGTTTGCATCACCAACACGGACTGGTGGGCAACTCCACAAGGCCCTCACTCATAGGGAGCCTTAGGCAGGTAGGGGGGAGGGGGGGGGCGGGGACTATACTTTCTTAAATAGGCCTTGTTAAGTCCTTATTGTAGGTATTGAGGCCCCCCCACCCCCCTCCTTGTAACTCATGCAACCCTGAAGTGTTTAGGGTTTAGGGTTTGTTTTAAATTGCCCTGAATATGCAATAGCCCGAACCCAAAACGGTTTAGATCTACCCGTAGCATCTGATACCCTAATACCCTCCCGAACGTACCCTAAACCATGTATGCCCTCATGCCAGAGTATCCGAATACATACCCTAAACATCCGAACACCCTAAAGCCTTTGTGCCCCAAACATCCCTAAACCCTATAAACCCCATAAACCCTGTGAGCCATATAAACCCTAAGCTTTAATCCTAAACCATACATACCCTAACCCCTAAACCCTCAACCCTACATACCCTAAACCCTCAACCCTACATACCCCAAACCCTCAACCCTACATACCCCAAACCCTCAACCCTACACACATCCCAAAACCCGAAACCCTAAGCCCTCAACCCTACATACCGTGAAACCCTAAACCCCCGCGGCCTTAAGCCCTGAAGAAAGCGAGCAGGTGGAAGGCGATCTTCTGTGTTCCGAGCTGTCCCTCGGCGATGAGAAGATTTCGAAGCCTGGGCTTCGGGGAGTTAGGGTTTAGGGTTCAGGCTTTAGGGTTTAGGGTTTAGGGTTCAGGCTTTAGGGTTTAGGGTTTAGGGTTGGGGGTGTACTATACAATAACTATAAGAAGGAACCCCCAAAGCATTAGGGTCGGGGAGTTTAAGGTTTTGGGAGCTTAGGGCTTTCGGGCATTTTAGGGCTTGGGGCTTTAGGGCTTCAAGCCGTAAAAGTTTGAGGGTTTTTAAGGTTTTGGGGGGTATACCATACTACAACTATGGGAAGGAACCCCCAAAACCCCTATTCAAATCCCCTCATCCGTGTAATAAAACCCCCTCCCGCCAAACATAAAGAATAGTTTTGGCCTTCAATTTCTGCTATGTGGGGGATTTCGAGTGGTTTTAGGCTTGATTTTCGATCATTTTTGAACTTTGCGCGCTCGAAAGTGGAACTTTTTCCGGTCGGAGAATTCTTTATACTTAGGCGGGATTTATTAAACGGGCGAAGGGATTAATGATTCAGGCCCCTACATTACGGCTTGAGGGGTTTTGGGTATGGGGGAGGCCTAAGGGTTTTGGGGTGTTAGGTTGGGGTTTGGGGTTCAGGGTTTAGGGTTTAGTGTTTGGGTTTTAAGGTCTTTAGGGCTTGAAGTTTGGGGTTTTAGGGTTTTGGGTTTTGCATCTTAAGGCCTTATTTTAGGTCGTAACAACCCCTGTCATTTTCAAGGATTTCGGGGTACTTTAGGGCTTGCTGCAAGGGCACAGGGATTTGGGAGTTTCCGAAAATGAGGGATACCTTATTATGGGGTCCTTATAAGAAGGATCCTACTCTTTAGGGTATTATATTAGGGTCCCTATTTTCGGAAACTCCCATGTCAGAGATCAGGGTGTACGGCTTTGGGTTCAGGCTAGGCCCCCCACAAAACCGATGTCGAAAACCGCAGCATAAGGCCAATTGCAAGCATACCCTAAACCCTAAAACCCTAAAAACCCTGAACCAGGATCTGTTCATGGGCTTCTGTGTTTGCTTGCCGATTTTTTGCAGATCCGATGACATCCCTGCGGTTCCGGAGACTGTTAAGACCACAGCCCTTAACCCTGCGGTTGATTTAGGGTTTAGGGGTTTTTGGTTCAGGGCTCGGGGTTTAGGGTTAAGGGCTCGGGGTTGAGAGCTTTCTTGGAGGGGTTGGAGTTTTAAGCCCAACGCCTCAAACCCAACCAACACCCAAGAGCTTCTAACCCCTTGCAGAAATCCCATGGTTCCCTGTTGCATTGGAGTCCCTAAACCCTATATCCTAAAGCTTGGCAAGCAAACGTACCTGCTGGTCGAAAAAGGGGCGTTTAACCAACAAACAAGCCTAATATAGGGGCATTAATAGTCAGAATAGGGTTTTGGGGCCCACTATACTATAATTGTACCAAGGAACGACCCCAAACTAGTATTGGTAATTATTTAGGCCCCTATATTACATCTTAAACCCAGTTCCACAGAGGCACCGATCGGCCGTCTTTGATGACAGTGTGACGGAGGCCTTGCTGGCTGCAGCGGGGGAGGCTTGGCTGTGTTGGAGTAGGGTTTGGGGTTTAGGGTTTACGGTCTAGGGTTTAGGGTCTGTAGGGTTTAGGGTCTAGGGCTTAGGGTATGTAGGGTATGCAGGGCTTAGGGTTTAGGGTTTAGGGTCTAGGGTTTAGGGTCTAGGGTTTAGGGTTTAGACCTTAGGCTTTGCGCTTTAGGGTTGGGGAATAATTCGTAGTGGTATTCGTCCGGGCCCCCTGACATAGTCATGGTATTGAAACGCCCAAGGCCCAATTGAAATGATGCAGGCTCCTGAAGTGTCGTCAGAACAAACCAAACGAATGGCACTACGTGCACAGTGCCGAAGCTCTTCCCATGCAACGGGATATCTCACCGGCAGCATGTGCTGCGACCACTTGTGCCTGTGTCACCCAAGGACAGCGGTAGCCTTGAATTGGCAGTGTCTCGGCACTGCCTGGGGTTAAGGTTAGGGGGCTATGAGAGCTTAGGTATTTGGTGGTTGGTGTTTGCGGTTTAGGGCTTAGGGTTCTCACGTGAGGGTCTTAGGCTGTGTTGTAACCTCAGTATGATGCAGTCAAGGCCTACGTCTCGCTGATGGAGGAGTCGCTGGCGCGAAGCTTGAGCAGCAGTCTGCTCCCCTTCATGAAACAGCCTCTTGGTTCTATGCAGTATTCTTGAATTACCACACGTTCGGGATGGATGGATACGTACAAAAGTACAAACATTCACGCACACATGCATATGTATGTGTAGATGAATAGATAGACAGAGAGTATAACTAGTATAGTTAGTTTGGATAGTATAGATACTAGAGATAGTGCAACTGGTATAGATGATGATTGCGGCAACTGAAATGAAGAGACACTCTTGTACAACCCGCTACACCCCACATGCACCAGCAAGTGTAATACAGCACCCGAGAGGATTTCCATGAACCCCAGTAGATTCCCAGACACCCAATACCCCTTAATGAAGCAGTATTTCTTAAATTATAAGGGTTCAATTTATGTTCCGTAAATTATAAAGCTTCATGGTATATCCCTAAAATTAGAAGGCTTGATACGGCGTCCAGCTATATTCCTTAAACTATAAGAGTTTAATCTATATTCCGTAAATTGTGAGGCTTGATGGTATATCCCTAAAATTATAAGGCTTCAAGCTATATTCCTTAAATCATAAGGTGTCAATCTGTATTCCTGAAATTATGAGACTTCAAGCTATATTCCTTAAGTTATAGGGGTTCAAGCTATATTCCGTAAATTGTAAGGCTTCAAGCTATATTCCTTACGTTTTAAGTTATAAGGCTTCAAGCTATATTCCTTGAGTGAAAAGGGTTCAAGCTATATTCCTTAAATCATAAGGGTTCAAGCTATCTTCCTTTTCAGGGATACTGGGCTCCCTGGGGTCTTGAATAAGAGCCCAGGCTCTCGCAGGCCTTCGATCTCAGTCAGTTCTTGGCTGACATGTGCGACACTCAGGAACTATTGTCTGGTTCTTAGTATGGAATGGGGGAATGGATATTGGGGTCTATTATTGGGGATTATAGAGGGGCTACTATAGGGATCCATTCCCCATTCCCCACTAAGCACCAGACAGACTAAGGGGATCCTCCTAGCAGCAGCCCAGGGTCATGTGGATTCTTGAGGGATTCCTCTACAGAAAGGGTTACCGCAGGGCCTGCGTTTGTGCATGGTTTCTGGTTTCGGAGGGGCTATCGCTCTTCTTTGATGACAATCGTGCTCCTACGCAGTCCCTCGTTGTGGCCTTCCAACCGCTTGAAGTCGCTTCATCTCTAGCAGAGCAACACGATTCGCCTCCGGCCCTGTGCAAATTTTCGGCTTCCAACATCGTGTTCCCGCAGCGTTTTGGGGTGCTCGTCGTGCTCCGGCCTCAGTGTGGTGCTCTTTTGGGACCAATGGGGTGATCTTGGGAGCCTGGGCCTACGCTGGCACCCGAAAAGCCAGAGCTTGCGCACACAATGCTTTCTGTCACTCCAAACTCTGTGCAATGCTTATTTCGGGGGCCTGCATAGTTTGAACAGGGTTCCCTCATAGGTTCCTATAAGGCCCTACACAGAATGAAACTCGAGATCCAACAGAGTGAATGCCCAAGTCCCTAGCGATGAACATCCGCAACCCTTGCAACAAGAAATCAGATACTGCAACAGCAAATGTCACAAACCCACACTACAACAACCCCAAACACTCCAAACCGCGTAAAACTTCCCAAGCAAGCTGCTGGCATCCCACAAAAGCCTTTAAAAGTCGCATAGGATCGCAAGAAGTCCCGCGAGACAAGCACTGGAACATTCCAATAGGCCCGTGAAACACCCGAGAGCACTTCAGACCTCAGGACACCTGCCCGATAGCGAAATATCCTTCATGGCCCTTAAGACCCTGAAACCTAAATCCGTAGAACTCTTTAAACCATAAACCCTCAATGTTTAGGGCTTAAAGTTTAAATGTTTAGAGGTGGGTTTTCGGCTCTTTCGATGTGCCGGAGACCGAGCTTACTCTCGTGCAAACGGCCTGGAGCCGTGCGGCCAAGACGGCACATGGACGCTTGAGAGCTTTCAGCAGGGTTCTGTAAGGATTGTGTGGGGTTTAAGGTATACGGCTTAAAAGTTGTGGATTCCGATTCCTTTAAGGTTGTATAGGGCTTGTGCTTGTAGGTTTTCGAGTTGAAGCGGCTTGAGGGTTTCAGGTTGCACAGTAGAAGCCCAAAGGTTGGAAACCCAATAGCTTCAATTAAGACTAAACTATAGGGAATGCCAGCACGATTTGGCCTTAATCCGCTTTCCAACTTTATGGGGTTTACTGTAAGCTTTTCTGGTAGGCTTCTGGTTCTGGGGTTTACAGCAGGGTGCAGGATACAGGGCTCAGGGTCCCTAAACCCTAAACCCCCGATGCCCTAAGCCCCTAAACCTCGAAACCCCTAAACCCCTAAATCACAAAGCCCTAAACCCCTAAACCCCTAAGCCCATGAATCCCTAAACCCCTACACCCCTTAAACCATTGTTTAGCGATTAGGGTCTTTTTTGGCCTGCCGGGGAGAGCCCTCTGAGGACTCTTGGCCCAGAACTCTTCGATCTTGCCGTTTCGATTGCTGCGACTAGCGGTGGACAGGGCCGAGGAGGCGCCTCTTGTGTTTAGGGGTTTAGGGGTTTAGGGTTTAGGGGTTTAGGGTTTTAGGGGTTTAGGGGTTTAGGGTTTAGGGGGTTAGGGGTTTAGGGGGTTAGGGGTTTAGGGGTTTAGGGGGTTTCGGGTTTAGGTTTTCAACGATACCAAGCGGTCGGAATAGTTAGGTTTGCACCTCTTACAGTGCTTTGATAGGAATTCCGTGTATATCACCGTATGGCGTGCTGTGAGCCAGGCGATGTCCACCAATGTCTTCATGGCTCCGGACATCTGCAGCGGAGGGATGCAGCTCTGGAACATGACCTCAGGCGAGCTCATCGGCTTTGAGCCGTGATTCAGAGGTTAGGCTTAGGGTTTAGTATTTAGGGTTTAGGGTTTAGGGTTTAGGGGTTTAGGGGAGGTCAGTAGAACTATATTAACTATATACTGACGGCAACCCTAAACCCTCAACACAAGAGAAGTCATGCATGCAGCGATTTTGTCCACGCCTTTGGGAAATACGCTGGCAGCGACTGGACGGCCAGAAACTGGCCATCGGGGTTGCAGCATTCATGAACTACAAAGATCGAAGATGGGTATTTTTCTACATGAAGCCCAGAGTCAGCGTCAATCATGCCACTACCGCCACTCGTACCGCTGCATATGACGAACTCCTCACATTTTGGCGTGTCTATAGGGCCTTCAACATCCGCTGACATGGGAACGAAGCACAAAGCTTGCATTCAAGGCAAACCCGCACTACTCTAAATTCTAGATCAAAACGCCCACAACCTGAGCCCGTAGGAAGGCTTCTTACTGTAGGGGCCTGAATATCCCTAAACCTTAAACCCCTAAACCCTAAACCCCAAAGAAGATTGGTATACAAGCTGCCAAACCCCAGTCTATTTGTTCGCACATGATCAACCCTGAGCCCGACATCCCCGAATCCTAAAGACCTGCAGCCCCAAGACCCAGAACCCTGCAACGGTATTGGCAGTATGCGGTACAATATAGTACATGGTATATACATACATATATATATATATATACATATATATATATATATATATATAGATAGCTATAGCAACAGTGATCGCCCAAAGGCCACGCGCTCGTTTTTGACGACAAGGGCCGTTTCTACGAGTGCGACTTGAAGAGCGGCCACTTATCACCTCGTCGTCACCGCGATCTGGCGGCAATATTCGGGGCTTTCATGATGTGAATAACCAAAATGTAGGAACCTGATTAAGAAACCCTGGGCCTATAACCCCCAAAGTAGTAGGATTCATGTAAGGAACTCAATACAGGCCCAAGGTTTCTTAATCAGGTCCTAGACCCTAAACCCTAAACCCTAAACTGAAAGCCCTGGTACTCTTCGGGGCCTTCGTATCTAGCATAGTTTAGGCACCCTTATCGTAACCCAGGGTTGGAAAATCAAGAAGAGTAGGATCCACATTCAAAACCCACGGATTCAAACGGGTTTCAACAGCTATTGGGTTTAGGGTTTAGTGTTTTGTCTTCACACCTACGTTTACCCTATTTCTTGCAGAGTCGTTCAACGGTTGAAGATTTCTGATGTGTTCAGGATGCCCGCCAGATAAGAAGTCGGGTTGTATCTGGGCATAGACCTTCGGAGCCTAGGTGGGTGTGCTTGCAATTTCTGCACGTATCATGGGGATACTCGTTACCCTAAAACGAGGACTACCTCCCTAAGCCCTAAACCCTAATGAAGCCCTCGTTTGCGGCTTGCAGTCGCCAATCGCTGGCAGGATACAGCAGTGCGGCTATCAACGACGCTTTCTCCTCACTTATTCAGCAACTCAATATGCGCGTGAGCTGATGGCCGTTGTGCTGCATTTAGGGTTTCAGGTTTTAGTGGTTTGCATAGGGTTCAGGGTTTAGGGGTGTAGGGGTTTAGAGGTTTGGGGTTTAAGACTTTGCAATCCTTATCCCGGACGGCTTGGCTGGCAATACTTGCATTCTCTAGATGGGCTAATGAATGCGTCAACGAAACTCCTTTGAATATCTGCAAGTTCATGCCGCTGCGTAGCAAGACGCCCTGAACCCTCAATCCTCAACTCTGCTTCCTGCTGGTTAACTCGAGCAAGGGGCTTGACAAGTAATGGTATTCCATAGGGTTCCCTAGTTTAGGCCCGGTGTAGCTATCAGTAGGCCCTGCTACTAAACTCAAGAAGGGGTTCCACCGATACCATGAAGCTGCGTAATTCTTGACCCTATGAGGGTGGCCGTCAAAATCAAGGTCCCTTTTTGGGACCTGAATTTTGCAAAATTAGGTTACCTAAACAGGGAACCCTAATTTTGATAACCAGCCAGGAACATTTAATTTACGTGTGAAGCAGGAGCTGTAAGCTGCCCCTGGACACGAGTCTATCTGAAAGAGGAGCGCATTTGAGCTGGGCTTAGGGGTTGGGGGTTTAGGGCCTAATAAGACCTCAGTACTGACCAGAAGTAGTAGGATCCTCGATAGAAGGACCCTTGAATAATCTACGGCAGCCTGTAGGAGAGGCTCTTTTAAGACCCTGATGAAGACCTACAAGAACCTGTCAGCCTTAGAACCTTAAACCCTAAACCCGATGAAGCCCCATGAAAGCTATACTTGGAGGTTCATGGGTGGTCATAACTGGGGTTATAAGTTCCCTAATGTGGGCTCTTTAGCTCTTTTTCCTTACTTGCACCTCCACTTATAACTACCATGAACCTCCGAGTACCCTAAACCCTCTCACTGTCCAGAATCCCTATAGATCCCTTTAAAGGGACCCTTAAAGGAACCCTTATAAATACCCAGGAACCTCCAAGTAGAACCCCATCTGAATTCCCACAGCCAGACGGAGGCTCCACTCCCTTCGGTTCCGAAGAGAGGGAACTGGGAGCCCAGTGCGGCAGTCCCTGAAGGACCGCTTTCCATGACATGCTTTAGGGTTTAAAGTTTGGGGCTTACAGTATGGGCTGTAGGGCTTTTAGTATAGTAGGATGTAGCGTTTAGGGCTTATAGTATAGGGTTTAGGGTTTGGGGTTCTGGGTTTAGGGCCTACGCGTGGGCACTGGCTTGGGACAGTTCTGGGCTCAATGTGGAGCCCTAGCTACCAACTCCTTTTATTGGCTGTTGTGGTCGACAGTGTATCTTGTCATAATGCTTCGCCGTCTATTGTTGTATACAACTGCGTTTATGTTACTATACCCAAGTGCCAGCAAGAGTACTTGTACTGATTGAAATCACGATGACGATTATGATTCATGATTGCTGTTGCGGTCACCGTCGCTGTTACTCTAACCCTATGGCTCTCCTGCAGCTTCTGCTGCTACTATCGCATCTGTTATTTACGGTGTGCGCTGGAACATAGACACTTCTGGCGCCGAGGAGATTGGAGAAGAAGCTGATCTGGCCTATGGTTTTGATCGGTTTTAACATCCCTGAGACCAACGAGCGGATTTGCTCTGGTCTGTGGATCGATGCTTCTCTGGGTGCCGACATCCCGGAGACAGATCAGCGGCTTTGCTTCGGAAAAAATCGGAGACACACTTGACATTCAAGCTGCACAGCTTCTGGGTTTAGGGTTTTAGAGTTTCGGGACTGTGCGCATGAGATTCAAGCTTGGAGTGGTCGTGGCGAGCGGCCAGGAAGTGCACATCCGTTGCTTCCTTGGCTCGAGTTTTCAAGTGTGTCTGACCCTGTCTGTCAACTCCAAGTTTCATCGACGCGATGTTTGCCGCGGGCCGAGATTGCCACTGTAGTCCCGGGACGTGGATCCTTCTTTCTGACACTTGTTTCGACTTGAACTAATGTGATCAAGGGGTTTCGAAGAATTCTCTCGCCGGTGTTTGGAGCGTCGTAAACTCAGGGGCTGTCGGGCCATGTGGGGTTGCTTGGCACAAACATTGGGAACAGGAAACGTCAATGCTTGCAGAGCTTCTACGACCGTTCTAGGACCGAACGGCACCACCCGACGACTCTTAGCCGCAAGCTGTAGACACTGAACCCTGAACGCCTAGTAAGCTCTAAACCTGAACCCGACGCCCGAGACTGCAGAAGTACTCGGTCCTTAAGCACGACATCTGCGATGTGCAACCGTTTACCTAATGTAGGCGCCTAAATAACTACTAGTACTATATTGGAGGTTCCTTATTGTAACTATAGTATAGTTGACCCCAAAACCCTACTCTAATTATTAGGGCCCCTATACTACGCTCAGATGCAGAAGCACAATCTGGAAAGGTGATTCGGCTGCTCGTGCTGGCTGTGATTGCTCCTGCGGATGCCACAAGGGCTGGGTTCTCGGCACAGGGCATTGGACCAGTCTGGAGTGTTTTGCGGGGCTGTACAGGATTCCAAGCTTGCACCTCTGGCTGTTAGCCGTGTGGGACTTTCCGAAAATTCGGGGTACCTTATTTTGGGGTCCAATCAGGATCCTACTGTTTGGGGTGCCAGATTAGGGTCCCCTGTTTTCGGAAACTCCCGTATCGCCAGGACTTCCTGAGCCCTGGTTTCTATTGGGACCTTGATGCTTAGAATAGGGTTTTTGGTATTTTTAGACTATAGTTACAATAAGGAACACCGAAAACCCTATTCTAATTATTCAAGGCCCCTACACTACACCCGTATAGTAGCACTGTTTTCGGCATTTGATACCACAGTTACAATAAAAAACCGCCAAAATGGCACAGGTAATTGCTCAGGCCCCTATCCTAAACCCTAAACCCTATAGATGCCTTATAGACCCCTTAAAGGAACCCTTAAGGATCCCTTAAAACCTAAACCCCTGAACCCTGAACCCACAACCCTCAACCCAAAATCCCAAACCCAACGCCGTTTAAAGGTAGTATAGGCAACTACGACGGTTGATGATATAAATCCTGCATTACCCAGAATAAGGAATATACCATAATTCCCATAGTTTAGGCTCCTTAAGTTAATGCAGGATTTATATCATCAACAGTAGGGGCTCCGCCGACCTTTCGCAGGTGTCCCTGCAGGGCATGGAGGCCAGGAGAAGGGCCTTTAATTTGGGGGCCAAAACAGCACATAAGCATAAGCATTTTATGGGGATATCCCTACCTTAATGGGCTTCACTATGAGGGGGTTTATATGGGATATCACTATCCTAATTTTTGCTGATGTGCTTTTTTGGGGCCCTATTAATGTAGGGGCCTTAATGGTTAGAATAGGGTTCCTTTAAAGGGATGCCTTAAAGGGGTCTATAGGGGATCTATTTATATATATATATATATATATATAGGAGGGTTCTATAATGTAGGGGCTTTAATCCTTAGAATAGTGCGTTAGGGGCTCATCATACTACAGTCATAAAAAGAGAGCAGAATGGATACGTTAAAAATCAGAACAGGGTTTTGTGGGTCCCTATTATCATTATGGTATAATACCACCCGAAACCATATTCCAATAGTTAAGACCCCTACATGACACCACCGAAACCGCGGCTTTTTTTGCTGGTCAGGTGTGGCTAATGTAGGTGCCTTAAGAATTGCCTCTACTATTTTGGGGAGGGGATTCCTTATTATAGCTATAGTACCAAAACCCTATTCTCTGGTCAGGTGTGGCCATCTGGGCCATCTGAAGCTGCTTTCATGGCGGCCAGGGAGGGCAACGTGTCTGCCCTCGCCACTGCTTTCAAGGCCCGAGAGCGATACTGTAGCGGCCTAAAATTACCTATACTATTTTGGGAACTCCTTCTTGTAATGCCACCTATACTATTTTGGGGGTTCCTTGTTACAGTTAGTTAGAGAAAAAAGGTCCCAACACCCTATTCTAATTATTAAGGCCCCTACATTAGATCGAGGGAAGATCGGACCCGGCCTGCCTCAGTGACTGCCCCAAGGCCGATGCTGATTCGATCATGGCTTTCAGAGACATAGCTGGCAGCACTTCCGCGCACGTGGCCGCGAAGCATGGCCACGCAGCGGTGCTGCGGTTCCTCCACGAGGCTCCCCGAACTCGAAAACCACCGTGGAAGCCACTTTGGGCATTCCAAGCCTCCCTTGTGATTTCAGGGAGTACAGGGTTTCGGGTTTCGGGTTTGGGTAGGTAGGGTTTTGGGTCTTGGGTTGAGGGGTTAGGGCATTCCTCCCCCGTGAGGCTGGCATCAACCTCACAGTTTGGGATGACGAGGGCACGACGCCGGCCCATTTGGCGGCTGAAAATGGGCACGTAGAGGCGCTGGAGGCGCTAGCCGAGGCCAGGGCGAGGTCGTAGGCTGAGGTGGGCAGGTTAGGGAGCTTTAGGCTTCTAGGCTCCCGGAGGTAGGAGGGAGCGGAGGGAGTGGGCGAAGCTTTAGCACCATGAGGCCGGCGCCGACTTAGGCGTCAACGAGAGATGCCCCGGCGGCGGATTCTGTCGGCAAGAAACGCCGTTGCTTATTGCCGCCAGAAGCGGCAACGTGGAGATGCTGAAGATTATCCACAAGGCCTCCGGCTCTGGCTCTCGAGCTGTTTGGGGTTCCGAACTATTATAAAAATAGTACAATATACTCACAAACCCTCCTAACTGTTAAAGCACCGCTTTTGCTGTGTGAGGCGGGCGTGAGCCTGGATGCGGCTTCGCCATGGAATGGCGCGACGCCGGCCCACGAGGCAGCCGGGTTCGGGCACGTGAAGTTCCTGGAGGCCTTGCACGAGGCCAGGCCAGCTTCTCAGAGATGCTGATCAATATAGGGGCCTTAATAAACAGAAGAGGGTGCCTTCAACGCATTCCCTTAAATTAAAGGGATACTAGAAGGGATCTATAGTAGGGTTCTTTTGTATAGGGGCCTTACTAAGTAGCAGAGGGTTTGGAAGTATATTATAGAATACTTATTATGAGGAACCCCCAAGTAAATAGTTATCTGGGCCCCTATATTGTAGCTTCCCAAAAGCAATCCGAAGCATGAAAGCGCCATTCATGTGCTCGGGGATCGGGTGGCGCACACTGGTGATGCCTGGTCACACCGGGACTTGATGGCTGCCTGGATTCGCGAGAATGCTCTCTCTCTCTCTCTCTCTCTCTCTCTGTGTCTGTCCGTCCAGGACGGGACGTGGGGGGGAGGGGGCGAGAGCCGGCAGCAGCTGATGCTCGTCATGGCGTTTGGGGGTTGGCCGGGCTGCTTCTCACAGTCAGCGTAAAATATGCCCCAAAATCCGATTCTGAGGCCCCTATTTTCACGAGGGGAGGGGGGACGCCAAGTCTTGCAGCGCTGTGCCGACGAGGCCGGGGCCAATTTGGAAGCCCAAGATAAGAACATCGGGACCCCGGCGCACTATGCTGCCGGTACGAACAACGTTGACATGCTGCGGGCACTCCACCAGGCTCGGGAGGCTCTCTACTATAGAGGCCTTCAAGATTAGAATAGGGTTTTGGGGCCCACAACACTATAACATAATTACACTAAGGAACCCCCAAAATTGTTATTATAGGTAATTGTTAAGGCCCCCATATTCAACCGCTCATTGCTTGGCGTTTGTGTTCCTGCGAGATGGGTGTCAACCTCAACACGAAGGGAGGCCTTGCCCATAACACGCCGGCCCACTACGCGGCCCAGCTGAACAAGGTGAAGGCATTGGAAGCCCTGGCCGAGGCCAGGGTTGCAGCTTCACGCAGAGTCTCTGCTTTTGTTGTGCCGTCCCCTGTGAGATGCGCGTCAACCTCGATGCCGTGGACGGTTCTCGTCACACCCCAGCCTTTGAAGCGGTCCGGAGCGGGGCGGTGGAGGCACTGGCGGTACTGGCCAAGGCCAGGGCTGCAGCTTCAGGCAGAGATTCTGTTCTTGCTGTACCGTGCCCTGTGAGGTGGGTGTCAACCTCGATGCAATGGACCAGCTTGGTAAAACGGCGGCCTTTGAAGCGGCCCGGAACGGCAACGTGGAGGCACTGGAGGTACTGGCCAAGGCCAGGAGGGCCTCTTCGACCTCGAACCTCCTCTCACCCATTGCTTGATGGCCGAGCTGTCCCGTCCCCGCTTTGCGCAGCTAGTCTTTCTGCACTGTGGCCTATCGTGTGGGCTCAAACTCAAACGATCTCCCTTAGCCCTAAACCCTTAACCCTAAGCCCACCTTGCAGTCCCGCGCCAGGCCGGCGCCAACCTCAGTGCGACGGACGGCCGCCACGGTACTCCTGCCCATGCGGCAGCCCGTTCCTGGGTTCTTGTTACGGGATTTACGATTTACGGATTAGCGTTTAGGGTTTAGGGATTAGAGGTTTAGGGTTTAGGGGTTTAGGGTTTAGGGGTTTAGGGTTTAGGGTTTGTAAGGTTGTTAAGGGAGTCGATTAGGTTTTCAGTTGCCATAATACAGAAGCCATATGTATTTACCATAGATCCCTATGATGATATCTTAAACCTGAAACCTTATATACTCTTGAAGGAACCCTTATAGATCCCTATTCTGGTAGGTTAAATTGAACTTCTTGCTTGGAGGTTCATGAGTAGTTATAAGTGGGGTTATAAGTCCTTATTAATATGGGATACAAGTATAGTTACCCGTAGAACCCCACTTATGACTACCCCTGAACCTCCAAGTAGGCCCTAAACCCTATACCCTTGTAGAAGCCCTATAGATCCCTTTAAAGGGGCCCTTAAGTATAGTTACCCTACTTATAACCCCACTTATAACTAACCATGAGCCTCCAAGATAAGGACTTCAATTTTTTAAGGTACCAGAATAGGATCTATAAGGGTTTCTTTAAGGGTACGGGATTGAACCTCCAAGCAATACCCTAAACCCTATAACTTTCTAGAATCCCTATAGATCCCCTTAAAGGGACCCTTAAAGGAACCCAAGAGCCTCCAGGTTCGGGGCACGCGGAGGCGCTAAAAGTGCTCGCCCAGGCCAGGGCTTTCGGCCGAAGAGTCGGCCAAAGGGTCAACTTTAGAGCAAGTAGGGGTTTGGGGTTTTGGGGTTTGGGTTTTGGGGTTTTGGGGTTTGGGGTTTAGGGTTTTGGGGTTTAGGGGTTTTGGGTTTAGGGTTTTTGGGGCAGTTAGGGTCTTGGGGGGTTTAGGGACTCTGAGCAATCAGGGCTGCAGGGTGTTTAGGGGTTAGGGGTTTGGGGCTATAGGGGCCTAAATCAGGGCAATTGTATAACAGACCCAAGCTCTATGAGGCTCTTCATGTTCGAGCCTCCTTATTGTGAGATGGGTAGTTGTCAAAATTATGTCCCCTTTTTGGGTACCCTAAATAATAGGTGCCGCATTATATTAGGGACCCAAAAAGGGAACCTAATTTTGACAACCACCTGACGTGATCGGGAAGACTGTCTGACTGCGAGGCGGGAGCCAACCTGGAAACGGCGAACACCCACTTTCCAAGGGACCTGCTTACCCCGGTGCACCTGGCCGCCATGGGAGGCAAGGTGGACGCGCTGCGCGTCCTGATCCAGGCCGGAAGGGGGGACAGGGGGGTATATTGTATTGTATTGTATTGTATAATATTATATATTATAATATAATATATTATGGTGTGCAGTATGATCCATGCCGGAGGGAGGCTCTCTTCGACCTCACATTCTCCCCCGGTCCAGGCTGGCGTGAACCTCAATGTCGTTGACGAGTATGGAGACACGCCGGCCGACAAGGCTGCCGATAACGGCCATGAAGAGGCACTGAAGCTGCTGCTCGAGGTCAGGGAAGCGGGGAGTGCAGGGGAGGGCAGGTTTCAGGCGGACCTTGCTAATATGATATAACATAGTATAATAACATAGCATAGCATATTATAAAATAATATAACGTAATATAACATAATATAAGATGATATAATACAATAATTTCTATGATACATTTACTAGACAACAATTTCTATTATAAATTTACTAGGGCCGCCGCTGGAAGGCTTCGTAAAGGTCAGAACCAGGTCTGGAACTTACCGCCATGGAGGTGAAAGCGACAGAGAAACCCATCAATATCCCAACCGCCGTGCGAGAGATCCCTTATATAGGCCTAAATAATTACCTATACTATTTTGGGGGTTCCTTATCATGAAATTGGTATAATCTACACCAAAACCTTATTCGAATTATCAAGGCCCCTATATTAAACCCCAAAGGAGAACAATCATGCCGGAGGGAAGGGCTCTTGCAGGTTCGTGGGTAGTTATAGGCGGGGTTATAAGCCCCTGATGTGGGTTGTAATCATAGCCACCCTACTTATGACCCCACTTACAACTACCCCCTATCCCTAAACCCTATCTCCCCACTTACAACTATCCATGAGCCTCTTTATAGCCCCACTTGTAAGTGCGCATGAGCCGCCTAGTTGGGGTCCTTTCAGTACCGCCGTCCCTGCCAGGCCGGGGGCAAACGAAAAGCCTGAGGCCGGATACCGCCACCGTTGCCGCTCACTGGATGTATTCGATAAGAAAGGCAAGGAGAAGACTAGTGATAGCAATAGTAATAGAGCAATAGAGCAATAGAGGAATAGAGTAATAGAGTAACAGAGAAGTAGAGTCATAGAGTCATAGAGAAATAGAGTCATAGAGTAATAGAGTCATAGAGTCATGGAGAAATAGAGTAATAGAATAATAGAGTCATAGAGTGATAGAGTCATAGAGTAATAGAGTAATACAGTAATTGAGTCATAGAGTACCAGAGATACAATGATATAGTAATGTAGCAATATAGTCACACGGTAATATAGCAATGTAGCCATGTAGTGTTATTGCGATATATTAAGCAGAAACCTTACAGCCCCAGAAACCCAAAGCCCCAGAAGCTACGCGGCTGGTCCAGGCTGAGCCCACCCAGCCATCCCAAAAAAAGCGTTTACCCAGCCCTGAAGCCTCTAATATAGGCGCCTCAATAATTGCCAATACTATTTGGGGGTTCCACACTATAAATATAGCAGAATGGGCCCCCAAACCCTCTTCTAACCCACATCCTGCCCCAGCCCTGAAGCTTCGCCAGATCACAATCCTGCACGGTTTAGGGCTTGGATGGTAGATGCCCTAAACCCAAAACCCTGGTAGATGCCTTATAAACCTTAAGCCTTAAGCCCTAAACTCTAAACTCTAAACCCTGTTCAATCTTCGGGGCTCGCATGTCTATAGGCGCGACACATGCCTTGACGACCCCCGAACCTTCATGTTTCTTAGGGATTGCGTTTATGTTTATGGTTTCGGGTTTAGGGTTTAGGGTGAAATACAATCTAAGGATTAAGAAGAGAATCATTTTTATGATGGTTCTGAGGGCTTTGTGAGAATCTTGAACGACAGATCATTCAAAATCTTAATCTCTTTAAGCTTCAACTCAAGATTCCAAGCTACAAATCCTGAACGACGCAACTGTCCTGAACCCTCACCCCCCCAAAGCACCAGCCAGTTAGCCCCCAGCACCTGGAATAAACCCCTACATGTCAAAGAGCCCTTAACCCCGAAACCCTAAACCCTTAAACCCAATTTTACACAGCCCTTTAGCACTAGGCCATACACACTCAGCCTCCTCAAAAGTTCAAGAACATCAGTTCGGCCCTTGCGTGTGTCTTGGTGGCCTTGGGTAGGACTTGGACCGTTCCGTTTTTCAGGTAGGACCGTTTTATGGGAGTTAGGATTAGGGGGACCCACGGGGATATAGACCCTCTCAATAAGGTCCCTTTAAAGAGAGCCAGAAGTAGGGTTCGGAAGGGGTACCCCTTAACAGGTCTCCCTCATCATGCTACCCATTTTAACCCCCCGGAGTCCTCCTGGAGCCCGGCCGAAGCCTTCAGCCCTGAGAGCAGATGACATCTCCGCGGAGGATCGAAAAGCCGGGGAGCGAATTAAAGGGGTCTATAAGGACTACTGTAAGGGGTATTCTGGGGGATTTAGTATAGGGGCCTTACTCATTACCTATACGATTTTTGGAGGCTCCTAATTACACTTATAGTATAGTGGGCCCCCAAAACCCTATTCGAATTATTAAGGCCCTATATTAGTGTGCTCAGTTTCTCCTCGGGGAGCACTCCTAAACCCTAAACCCGAGGGTTCGGAAGTCCTCGTCGTCCCTGCCGGAACCGCATAGCTCTGAAGCTCCGTTTAGGGTTTAGGGTTTTGCCGACCCTGCAGTGCAGCCATGTGAATCCGTTGCTTCAGCGCATCCTTTGGCTCTAGTTTTCAAACCTGTCTGTCAACTTCAAGATGTTTGCCGCGGGCCCGAGATTGCCACTGTAGTCCCGGGACGTGGATCCTTCTTTCTGAGACCTGTTACGACTTGAACCGGTGTGATCTAGGGTTCCAGCGATTTCGAGGATTCCTCTTGCCGGTTATTTGCTGTCATTTGCAAATGCGGGCTTGCCCAGTCGCACAGTCGGGGTTTGGGTTGGCAGAGGCCTCCGGTTCAAGCAAGGACGGCTTGGTTGCAAGCGGGTCATGCAGAGATGAATGGTGAAACAATCGCCTGCTGTGCACATTATTTCAGCTTATCAAACCCATCCTTTTTGTAGGGTCCCTGTCAGGGTTTGGGTCGGGACAGGAGGTGTTGCTTGCAAAGCTTCCAAGACTCGTATAACCCTAAGCCCGATAAATCCTAAATCTTACACCCCGACCCCGATAAACCTTAAATCCTCAATCCTAGACCCTATAAACCCTAAACCCTAAGCCTTAAGCCCGATACATCCTCCCAACCAGGCAGGCGGACCTGATAAACCCTAAACCCCTAAACCCGAGACCCTAAACCCCTGATAAACCCTAAACCCCTAAACCCTAAAGCTTACGCCCTCAACTCCTCGACCCTTACGCACGTCATCCGCGATGCGGAGCCTATTGCCGAAGCCAGCTACGCCAGCATAAGCAACAGCTGGTAATCTAGAGTCTACCCCCAAAAGCCCTGTCTTTACTCCAAATCCGGGCCATATAGGGGCCTAAAAAATCATGAAGACTATTGATGAGGGTTCCTTGTAATAGGGAAACTATACAGGAGCCTAAAACCTCATTCTGATTCTTAAGGCCCGAACATTGCTGCTCGTGCTGGCCGCGATTTCTGTGGATGGCACCAGGGCCGAGTTCTCAGCACAGGGCATTGGATCCGGGGAGCCTGTGGGGAGTTTTCTGGGTTGGCAGGGCTGTGCCGTAATGACTGTAGGCTTTAGGGAGCCCCTAAACCCTAAATCCTAATCCCTAAAGGGAGCCCCCAAAACTTAAACCCTAAAGGGAGCCCCTAAACCCTAAACCCTAAAGGGAGCCCCAAAACTTAAACCTTAAAGGGAGCCCCTAAACCCTAAATTCTAAACCCGAAGCTTCCTGCAGAGGGTCTAGCCGAGGGTCTAGCCCGCCTGCCCGCGGGATCAGATGCGATCCCCCCAATCGAAGTATCAGTCAAGATCCGGGCCTTCCTCGATGCCTACTTTAGGGGCCTTGATAATCAGAGTAGGGTTTTGGGGGTCCATTATACGATGAATCTGATAAGCAAATTGTTTAGGAATTACTTACCCCTGGTAGCTAACTGAGTACACTCTACCCTTCTTGGGATAATACAAGCCCATAGAGAACTGGAACTGCACATCTTTCAAAGGCTCATGAAGTCAGCAGCTAAGTAACCCCAATGCTTACTTATAAACCCTAAAACCCCAGAGCCCTAACGCCCTGAAGCCCTAACCCATTCCCTCCATTGCACAGCGCCGCTTCACTCCAGGTGTCTATGCAGAACTTGGCCACTGCCGAGGCCTCTGACCTTGAGGCGCATGGGGAAGGGGGGGCTTCGGGTTTTAGGTTTGGGTTCAGGGTTTAGGGTTTAGGGTTTAGGGTTCAGGCTTTAGGGTTTAGGGTAAGAGGGGTTTGCGTTCAGAGTCTAGTGGAAGTTCCAGAGACCGGAAAGCATCACTGGGTTCCCGCATTCCACCCTAAACCCTAAACCCCAAAACCCTAAACCCTAAACCCCAAAACCCTCAACCCCTACACCCTAAACCCCCAAACCCCTAAACCCTAAACCCGCTAGCTGAGGAGGCTGTCAGATTCTGTCATGCGGACTCAAAAAGGCCATCAAAAAAAACAAAAACCCTCTAGCCCTAAACACTAGACCTTCAACGCCAGCCCTGGACCCTCAAACGAATGCTGCAACATACCCAAACCTCCTAATTCAGGAGGTATCTTAGGTTAGATGGAGGATCACTCCAGGGTGCAATTAAGGAGTATATCTCAGATCATATGAAGGAATCTGGGAATCTCCGTGTGCTGCAGGCTCAGCAGAAGAAGCAGCTCGCCAAAACGACTCAGCTGTTCCAGCCCCAGGCGACTCGAGCAGAGTTGTCCTTTTTCATGGTTCCCCCAAAAGAATAAACAGACCGGCTAGTAGACCTTCTTAAGTATTTCCTACTAAGGTATATAGGTATAGGGCTCTGTCTATTATCTCTAAAAGGACAAGGGTGGCCTGGAGTAGATTTGGGCGCGGATTTTGGGGTTTCGAATTTCGGGTCTGTGAGTTTAGGATTTAGGATTTATCGGGCTTAGGGCGTATAGGGTTTAGGGCTCAGGGGGTTTATAGACGTTATAGGGTTTGGGTTTCGGGGGCGTATAGGGTTTAGGGTTCAGGGGGTTTATAGACGTTATAGGGTTTGGGGGTGTATTTCCGTGATACCTGGTCATGACTCCGGCCGGAACAGCAGACGAACTCTTGAGCCGTGTGCCAACTGGCAAACGGATCGTCCTGAGCTGCCATGAAGGCGATGAGCTTCAGTGGCTTCGCTGGACTCGTGATTAGGCCTAATAGTGCTGAAACCCAAACCCTAAACCCTAAATCCCCAAACCATAAGCATCACATGATAATGGCACCTGCTCTTATCCGAATGCTGTTTTCCTCTTGCTCGGGTCCCTCCGAGCAGGCGCCTCAGCTGCCGTTACCCCACCCTAAGCCCTAAACCGTTAACCCTTAAGGCCTCAACCCTCATCCCTCAAACCCGAAAAGCCGTGCAACTTTAAACCCTTACAGTCCTAAAAACCCTAAAGCCCCAAAGTCCTAAACCCTAGCGGGCCATTGCAGCTGCTAGACTGCCCTAACTAGTTAACACTATTATTTTTGTTCCGTATCATAATCCTGGTATAATGTACCCCTAAAACCAATTCTAAATATTCAGGCCTCTATACTAAACCCTTATAGAACCCTTCTAGTAACCCTTTAAAGGAACCCTATTGTAACTATTGCTGTAGGGCCCCAATTCTTGTTGCGTCAAGCCTTGCCGCCCAATCGCACGTCTGTAGTAGGCGGGAGCACTGGGTTCGAAGGCGTGTGGGTTTTGGGGTTTAGGGTTGCGATGTTAGGGTTTACGTCATAGGGTTCAGGGCCAGCCGGTTCAACGATGTTTCTTGGGCTCTAGGCATTTTGGGTTTAGGGTTTCGGGCTTATAGGGTTTGGGGTTTAGGGGCTTTCATAATGAGGTTTCGGGGCATATTGTCGTGTAGCAATGACGCCGTGGTCATCATAGGGGCTGGCCCGTTTTTGTTCAGCTTCCCAGGTTGAGAGGGCATCTCATCTTGCCCCTGCGGTAGATATGGGTGCTTTCGTTGCATGTGATTTGTGCGTGGTGCTTTGGCTCTGGGGCTGGAAGGGTGATGTTTCGAAGGTCACACCCTAAACCCTAAACCCTACTAAACCCCTAAACCCTAGATTCAAAGGAAGCCAAAGGCATGAGTGGAGGTTTGGTGCTTTGGACGGCTTCCCGGCAGGCGCAGCAGGAGGCGCAGCTCGCCAAAGCGAAGAAGCTCTTCCGGACCCTGCTCCAGGCGCCATGGAGCGGTTCTACAAGCTTTACTTGGAGGTTCATGGGTAGTTATAAGTGGAGTTATCAGTAGGGTAACTATAAGTAGAACCCATATTAGGGGACTTAGAACGCCAGTTATAACTACCCATGAACATCCAAGTGGTTCCCCAAGTCTCAGTTCACTTACCGGTTTGGGGTCGGCAGGATGTGCTCCGGCCAGTAACCTGTGAACTTGACATGAGCAAACAGATCGCCCGAGCACCGATTCATTCCGACGTTTCTAGGGGTCTGTGGGTCAGCTGTAGCCTGCTCACTGGAGTTACTCTGCTCTGAAGAGAAGGAAGGAGAGTCGAAGAAACACCCAAAGCATCGGACCGATGCGCTGGTTGTGGGTCCAGGATCATGGCCCGGCTAACTCGGTGGAGCTGTGGTTCCCCACAAGAGAAAAGATCCACAGGGCGCCAGGCACCGACATCAATCCAAGCTGCCCTTTCCTCCGCCGCTCGTAGGTTGTTTGAACCATGTGCTCGCCTGAGCCGAAAGCACCATGCGCCGGCAGGACGAGGAGGCAGAAGTGACTGAGAAACCCATCGCGGAGACGAGCGTGCCGCCTACTACGACCACCACCTCCATGACCGCCACGAGGGGGCAGCCTCCGGCCATCTCCGTCGAAGAGGCTGCCAGGCGAGGCGATGTGGCGGCCCTCACGCAGCACCTCCAGGCCCGGTTGCTCTCGCAGTAGAAGGCCTGTGACGATTCTTTCGAGAGGGCCGCGTGCGGAAAGCTTGATAAATTTCATAACGCGCAGTAGGCGAGGCGACAGTCGAATGAGCGCAGCTCGGTGCCGAGGCCGGGACCGACTTGAGTGCCAAATTGAACTGTAACTCTTTCGGATGGACCGCGGCGCACCGGGCTGCAGAGTTTGGCCAAGTGGCGGCGCTGAAGTTCCTCCACGAGGCGAGGCTCCTTGTGGAGTTCTCGGAAGCCGCTGAAGCCGTGGGCCGTAGACTTTCCCTGTGAGGCAGGTGTCAACCTCAGCGCGACAGACAACGACGGTTTCACGCCGGCCGTCTTTGCCGCCCGGGAGGGGGAGACGGAGGCGCTGGAGTTCTTGGCCAAGGCCAGGGCTGCAGCTTTGCAGAGTCTTCCTATAACTTGCCGGGGTTAGGACTTAGGACCCAGCGTCTTCAAATCCTCTGAAAGTGCAAAGAAGGAGGTTACCTTGGCGGTTTCCACTCTGAGGCGGGGGCCGACCTGCAGAAGGCGAACCGACATGGACTGACCCCTGCGCACGCTGCCGCTTACCGCGGCCACGTGGACGCCCTGCGGGTCCTCATCCAGGCCGCTGTGCTCTTCTCCCGTCGCGCGGTCTTAGGCCGGTGCAGCAGCCCCCCGCTTCGCAGGCCGGTGTCGACCTCAACGTCCAAGACTCTATCGGAAACACGCCGGCCGATTTTGCTCGCGAAGCACCATCCAGAGGCGCTGAAGCTTCTCCTCGAGGTCAGCGAGGGAACTAGAGGAAGCCTCAACCCTAAGGGGAATCATTACTTACCTTTGGTTAGTAGGGAATGGAAGAATGGTGGTAATAGTAGTTATAATTGTACCCCATTCCTCCATTCCCTACTAACAAAGGTAAGATTATGGAGTGTCGGGTTTGGTGCAGAGCTTTCGCTTCAATTCACGGGTGGTGCCGCCGCTCGCCTGCCAGCTCGGGAATAATTTCTTAGAAATCAGATGGATTTGCTAGACACACGTGATATGCCGTTTCTGGGCCCAAAGTCATAGTTCTGGTGGGGTTCGTAGAGCTGAGATTCCGCCTTGCAGGGTAGATCCACCGACACTCCTGATACTATAGTCTCCTTAGGAAGTATTTTGTATTCTTGTTCGTACAAAACCCAAAAGAGCATTGAACATAGTATTTTCATTCTTATATTATGGTTCTAAGGGGCGTATAGGATATGAGAGTCGGAGGGAATAGTTAGTATCAGCACCCCCCCTATGGTCCCCTCTATCTATACTACACATACAATACCCCAAAACCCTATTCTAGTTATGAAGGCGGCCTTGTCAGGCCTCTATACTAAACCCTTATAGAACGCTTATAGTAACCCTTTAAAGGAACCCTATTCTAGTTATGAAGAAGGCCTTGGTATCAACTGAAGCTCCCCGAAGTGACTAAGCGCGCAACCCCCCAAAAATGCTCTTCAGCTACACCCCCCCTGAGAGAGGCATGCTCGAAGGCCTCGCGAGAAGCTGAACTCCCTTGAGAACCACCACCCCCCACCCCAAACCCTCAACTGCACACCCTAAACCCCTAAACCCTTAAATCCCTAAACCTCTAGACCCCTAAACCCCTTAAACCCCTAAATCCCTAAACCTCTAGACCCCTAAACCCCTCAACCCCTAAACCTAAACCCCTAGACCCCTAGACCCCTAAAACCCCTAAACCCCTAACCATCCCCAACAAGTATAAGAAACTTTGCACCGCGGCAGGAGGAGGCTGCCATCTCGGATGCGAGCAATGAGGTCACTGGGTTCTGCCTGCAGAGTAGAGGGAACTGGCGGGGACTTCGGCTCGGGATTACCAGTATTGTTTTCCAGGGTTCCTCATCATTTTAACTATTAGCATAACCATACTATACAGGAGCCCAAAACCCTATTCTACTTTTTAAGGCCCCTACACTAAGTTACCATAATAGGGATCTATCAGGGTTCCTGTAAGGGATCTACTTGGGGTTCTTTAAGGGTATAGGGTTTAAGGTTTAGGTTGCAATAATAGGCATCTAAATCTAAAGTGAATAATGCGACTAAACCCTAAACCCTAAACCGTTATGGTAACTTAAAGTAAATCCCTTCACAAGAACCCAGGCTTTGACAGAGGCGGCAAAGAGGGGCGACGTGGCGGCCCTCGCGGCGTATCAGAAGGCCCAGTGGGCGTAGAGGTAGGGTTTAGGGTTCTAGGTTCGGGATTTAGGGGGCCAGGATGTTTTCAAGGTGTTCCAAGAGCAGTAGAAGTCAAGTGTTTCTTTCGGAAGGGCTGCGAGGATGCTGTGTTTGCCGAGGCGGGTGCCGATTTGAGCGCCAAAGTGCACCATTTTGGCTACACTCTGGCGCACTGGGCCGCAATGCGTGACCACGCCGAAGTGCTGCAATTCCTCCAGGAGGCTGACAGATGTAGTAGTCGAGTCTTCGTTCGATTTGCATATCACAATACACCCCAAGACTTCGAATCCTTAAGGAGGCTTGCTTACAACGGTGCTTCTGAGCGAGGCTGGTGCCGACCTCGAGGCGGCCAGCGACGACGGACGTACTGTCATGCACTTTGCGGCAGCGGCCGGCAGCATGGACGCGCTGCGCGTCCTGATCCAGGCGAGGGTTTTCGGGCTTCAGGCATCTGGCCCTAAACCCTAAACCCTGGGGTTTGGGGTTTTCGGTATTTAGCGTGTAGGATTTATGTCCAGGTTTTGGGAGGGTTTGGAGGGCTGAGGCGCCTTGAGCTCAGGCGCACGTGAACTTGAGTCCCGTGGACGTGTCCGGGGAAACGCCGGCCGACGACGCTGTCCAATATCATCCAGATGCTGAGGAGCTGATCTTGAAGGTCAGGGGGGAAGGGATCTTCCATGTCAATTCCGCCCTACACCCCTAACCCCAGCGAAGCCCTGAACTCCGAAACCCCAGCCTACACCACTGAGCCCCTCATAATCATGGAGGCTGGGGGGAAGCACAGCACCGCCTGGAGCAGAGCCTGGAGCAAAGTGCGCAACGCCTTCAAGCGTTGAGAGATCGAAGCTTCGCGATGGCAACTCGGCGGAGATAGACATGTCCTAGGTAATATTACAGTAGAAGCCGGAAAATTGGAATATCATTATCATAATCCCTTGAAGGTAAATTATAGGGGATCCTGCCATTATTTCATATTCCAACTTTCTGGAGTTCCCTGTAGGGAGACCCCTTCACGGGGACCCTTCTTAACCCTAAGGGACCCAATCCTAGCTCCTAACATGGGAAAAGCCGTGCAGGCGGTTTAGGGTGTTCTGAATTCTTGCCAATACTATTTCGGGGGTTCCTGATTATGGCCGTAGTATAATGCGCCCCAAAACCCTATTCTAATTGTTGGAGTTTCAGCTTCAGCATGAGCCCCTGCGCAAGATGACACGCCGAAGGCCTTTTTGCTCAGCGTATATAAAGTTGTTGCGTGCTTTCGGGGTGTAAGTTCAGGGTTGAGCCTAGAGTCCAAAGCTTAGGTAGCCAGGTTCTTCTAAAGGCCCTTCCCCGGTAGCTCCTCGAAAAGAGGTTAGGAGCCCAAGCTCCCTTAGGGTTCCTTTAGCTCTACTTTGTAGGCTTAGGCCCCTAAGTATCGCCCTCCGCTCCCTGACTTTATAAGTCTAGGCTCTAGGTCCTAGCTTAGTCGGGTGATAAGTCGCTGAGTTAAAGTGGTAGGATCCACCTCTCGAACCATGGACCCCGCTTTGAGACGCCGCAGACAGGAGCGGCAGGAGCAGGAACCGGCGAGTCCTTCTGCTCAGGAAGATGGGGCTCCTGAGGTTAACCCGTTTTGGAGCGAGAAAGCGAAGATGGAAATCTCCATCCAGAAGGCCCGCCCTCTTGATCTGGTGAGATGCGATGACGAAGTTTTGGAGCCAGATTACAATGCTAGCGGCAAGGGCCGAGGATTTTCCAGTTCACAAGGGAGTTCGGAAGTCATCAAGGCTGCTGGTGGGCAGGCGACGGATCCTGGGGTCAAAGGGCGTTTCTTTCAAGAACAAGTTGAGGAGATCCAGAACTTAAAGACGAAGACCACAACCTCCTCTACCCGGCCCGAACAGACTGTACTGGGAAACTCCGTTCCGCAGACCCACAATGAGCAGCCCGACTGGCTTACCATGTCTCCTCTCAAGTCCCAACAGCATGAAGCCTCTTTGGAATCTGGAGAACAGCGCGAGCTGGCAACTGAACGGCGCTCTGTGCCGACAGCAGTGAGGGGTGATGCTCCTGGCCTAGAGACTGCTCGGGACTCTTCGGATTCTGGGGTGTCGGTTCCGAAGGTTGCGGGGGTTTCCAGGACGGCTTTGCAGGCTTTTGGGGATTCTTCGGCAAGCCTCGAGATCCCAGAGACCTCCACAACGTTCGGTACGGTCGCTTCAGATGGAGGAGTTCCGAACAGATCTAACTATGTAGGAGAAGTAGACAGGAGTAGCCTGAGGGTAGTTCTGGAAGGGGCTGAAAGTGTCAGTGAAGGCACTGCAAGGAGGTCTATCCCTCTGTCTCCGGAAGCCCAGAAATCCCAGAAGAGTTCGGCCTACGAGATCCCGGATCCCTCAGAGCAACATTTCGAAATCGTTAGACTACGGTCTTTGGTTGAGCATCTTCATGATAGGCTAGAGAAAGCTGAGGCTGAACGTAGTACGAGAGGATCCAGATCTTTTGGGTCGGCCTCTTCTGGGCGTAGAGTAGAGGAACTAGAGCTCAAGGGCCAAAGGGTAAACTTTCAGTCTGAGGAGGGTTATCCTTTGCCCCCGGTGCCACCTCTGCCTCCTTTCGCCTCTGAGGGGTGGTCTTCCTGGAATGCTTCGGACCCCCTTCATTCCACTCACGACCTGGTTTTGGGTCAAGAGCCTCCACGTCAGTCCTCCCTCGATATGGATTTTGGCCCATCTGTTCACTCCCCGATGGCTTTTCCCGGGGACATGGTGCCTTTGACTTCAACTGCGAGTGCTCCTGGGGCCACCCTTTCGCCTTCTGAGGTTCCGTCTATGGACTTTGGACTTCATTCTTTTACAGGGCCCCCAGGAGTCCAATCCTCTTCAGGGATTCCCAATCCCGTTTCTCCTTCCGAGGTTCCTTCGATGGACTTTGGATTTCATTCTGCTGCGGGTGCTGGACCTCAGTACTTCGCTCTGTCTCCCCGTGCCCAGTTGCCGACTTCGTCTGGTGTAATAAGGGTTATGGGAGTTAATCATAGCTGGAAGGTGGTTAATGGTTCGTTTGTTTTAGAGCCTGTGGACTTCGTCCCTCCTCCTCCTCCGCAGTGGACTTCACCCTTGGTCGCAGCTCCGCCCACTTCTGGGGCGTGGAGCAACAGTCCATCTCCTCCGAAGCATCCTGCGTTTGGAGCACAACTTCCAGTGCCATCCTGCCATGCTGTCTCCTCCTGCGCGGGAGCGGCAATGCCTCGATACCAATCGCCTCCTCCGAGGCCTCCTTCGTCCACTCCGCCTCCGAGCCCACCGGCCCCTTCGGGTTTAAGTCTTCCCATAGCTGCCCCGCCGGTTGGAAATAGTGGTCGGGTTGATGTTAAGGACCTTAGGCCTGAAGCTGTGGGTAAACATGTAAGTTCCCTACCGTCCCTAGAGGCCTACAACCCTAACAACCCCACCGCGCTTGGAGATTGGATCGCAGTGGTCCAGCCGATGATTTCTTCACTGTCAGACACCGGAAGTGTCTGGTGGGGTTATACATACCAGGCGGCCAACCAGGCCTACGTGCGGTGGCTCTCCACTTCCCCGCTTGAAAGGCTGTCGATCCAGAAGGAGTTTGATCAGGTAAATTTGGTGCAGCCCCAGCATGCCTTGCTGGAACAGCGATGCGTGACCTTGATTCTTCAGGCAATCCCGGATGCTGTGAGGGTTGACATTGTCGCCTCACGCCACCTGAGTGTGGCAGGAATGATCTTTCGTCTGATGACGGTGTTTCAGCCCGGGGGAGCGTCAGAACGATCAACCATGTTGCGTTTTTTGGTGACGCCGAAGGCTGCTTCCACTTTGTCGGAGGCTGCAAAGCTGCTGAGGCAGTGGACCCAATGGCGTATGCGCCTGAAGCAACTGCACGCAGCAGAGCCTGACACCACGCTTCTGGTTAAGGGTTTAGATGTCCTGACAGGAAAGGTGTTGCAGAAGCACTCCGCGAGCCTTTTCCGACTTGCCACTTTCCGTGAGCGGCTTGGGGTTGACTACCAGCCGACCTCCGACGCTGTGTCGGAGTTGTGTCGAATGATGCAGGCGGAGGTGGAGCACCTGATGCACTCCACAGATGACAATCCTGTGAAGGATGAGGTTCCGGGCCGAGGGGATGATGCTAAGAAGCAGCGCTTGCAGCGCTTGCAGACGTCTCCAAGTACCCCGAAGGCCAAGACTTCTCCAGCGGGACCCAAGTCGCCGGGTGCAGGCATGAAACCTTGCAGAAGCTGGCTAACGGCTGGCGGTTGCACGTACGGGTCGTCCTGTCAGTTCTACCACGACCAGGATGAAGAAAAGATGCGGGGCCGATGCTTCTGTTGCAGTGCCGAAGATCACTGGGCGGACTCATGCCCGGTGAAAGCCAGGTTAAAGGCGGAGGCTAAGGCGGCCAATGAGGAGTCCCCTTCCACTAGCCCTAAGACACCAAAGGCCCCTGCCGATTCCTCTCCTAAGGGTAAGGCGAAGGGTAAGGCTAAGGAAGGTAAGGGTAAGGAAGGCAAGCCGGGGGGGTAAACCTAAGGTTGCTACCGTAGACCCTCAAACCGCGCCTGCTGGGACCGCGAATGACCAGGCAGAGGCTGCAGCTCCGAGTCAGGGGGATGGCAACGCAGCCATCAATGCAGAAATCTTGAGTGTGCTAAGGTCGATCAAGACCAAGGCCTTGCGGCTTAGTGCTGTGAGCAACCCGACGGGCTACGGCTTGTTGGATAGCGGGGCCTCCGCTTCTCTCCGCCAGGCATCGCCTCAGGAAATCCAGGAGTCCCGCCCGGTGAGCGTGTCTCTCGCGGTCGGCGAGGCTCTGATGCATGTGAACTCCGCCGGGACTTTGTTGGTCAGGGAGTCAGTGCAGCCAATCTTGCCGATGCATGCGTTGCCGCTTTTGGGCTGTGAGATCAACTGGACTGACCGGGGCATTCACGTGCGGCATCCAGGTCTCGGGATCCTCCCGGTGAGACTCAAGGATGGCACTCCTGAGTTGCCAGAGTTTCTGGTGCTTCGCCTGATTGGCGAGTATGAGCGCTTCCTCTTGCGCCGTGAGACCTCAAGGGCCGTATCGCAACAGCTTTGGCAGCGATCAGTTGGCCAGGAGGAGGTTGGGCTTTCGTCCCTAAGGGAGTGGGTTGCAGCCCATGCGGCGGCAGATTCGTGCAGCGAAAGTGAGCTGCAGCTGATCGTTAAGACCCTCTTTCCTGGGCTCCCAGAAAGGTTAGCGTCTCAGGTTGCGGTGAGTCCCACCTTTGATCCCTCCTGCGTTCCTTTCAACCGCCGGACCAGGAGACAGCTGTTTGACCCTCAGGTCCCAACCTTGGTGCATCTGTTTGCTGGAAAGCAGCGGTGGCGACATTCTGTCGGCCAAGTGCTTGAGGTTGATATTTCCAGGGGATCGGACCTTCTTTCTGATGATGTGTTTGGCATGCTGCTGCGGGCAGCCACCCTGGGTGTCATCGATGGGGTCGTATGTGGCCCGCCAAGCAGGACCTTCAATCCTGAAGCCCTGGCGTCCTCCTCGAATGGCTTGAAGTTCCGAGGGGAAGAGGGGGATGATAGGTTTGGGTTTTCAGACCTCAGCCCGTCCGATCGTGCTTTGGTTGATCGGGACACCCTGTTGTTCCTCCGGTCTCTGCTGTTGACCTTTGTGGCCTCGTGTGCCAAAGAGAAGTTCTTCAACTGCTTGGAAATGCCTGAGACTTCCACTGCGTGGGAATGGCCCGAGTATGAGAATGTTTCTGTGTGTCTGGGGGGATGGACCGCCAGCTTCGACCAGGGCACTCTTGGCCATCCCTGCTCTAAGGCCACTGCCGTGTATACCAGCAGCTTTCAGCTGTATGAGTCTCTTCATGAGCTGAAGCTTCCTCCAGAGGTGATTGAAGCCCCGGCTTCTAACTTCTACGGCAAGGAGTGGGCTCCCGGGCTTGTTAGCCGGGTTCTGCGGGCCTGGGATGACTACTGCTGTGTCAGCTTTGAGCGCTTGCAGGCTCACACCCGTGAGCGGGAAGGACTCCTTCTCAACTTGTGCCAGGAAGCCACTGTGGCGAAGATGTCACCCGAGGTTTGGGAAAGGCACTGCCAAGCAGATCATTTGCCGTATCGCAATGATTGCCCAATTTGCATTCAAGGAGCTTCCCGCGATCGCTCCCACTTCACGAAGCATCCGCATCTGTTTGAGCTCTCCAGTGATGTTGCGGGTCCGTACCACAAGGGCCGGGACTTTGGAGGAGCGTGCAGGTATTTTGTGATTTTCACAATAAGGGTGCCGGTCAAAAGTGATAAGAAGGAGTGGCGGGATAAGTCTTCTGAAATAGCTTTCCAAGAAAAGGTTGATGAGGCTAAGGCCCAGGATAAGGAGGATCCCCATGCAAGCTTGATCTACCAGCCGGTGCATGTTACCGGAGAGCCCTTAAAGGGGGATGCTTAGCAGCCTTCTCGGGTTAAGGTGTACACAAAGCTTGGGGATGACTTCCTTGAAGAGCCAAGCTCGGCCGTTGGGGTTTCTTCCACGCCGGGGGAGGATGACGACTCAGCTCTTCCTGTGAGCTTTGAGGTTAAATCTCCTCACAAGCCTCCGCCGCTTCAGCCTGAGGGCAGTGACTCTGATGATGGTCAAGAGTTTGTGACTTTGGTGTGGGCTGAGCCGCTGAAGACCCGCCAGTCCTTCAATGTGCAGCTTGCAATCATGCGTGCTGTTGCCCGCCTCCGAGCGTTTGGCATTCCGTGCTTTCGCTTCCATAGCGACAGGGCTCGGGAATACTTGAGTGATTCGCTTGAAAGGTTTCTAGCCGAGCAGGGCATTCACTCCACGAGGACAGCCCCTGAGGATCATCCCTCAAACGGCGCCGCTGAGGTCGCGATTCGAGAAGTCAAGCGAGCGGCCCGCAGAGCTCTTCTTTCGGCGAATCTGCCTTCGTGCCACTGGCCCACGGCAGTGAGACATGCCGGAGAAGTGATGTGGCGTAAGGGCCTTGTTCGTTTGGGTGGTGCGGCCAGGTCTTTGCTGGCTTACGGCACGCCTGTTGAGGCTCGTAAGCGCCTTCGCCACAGGGATGTTTGGATGTCCCGAACTCGGTCTGGAGTCCTGATTGGCCCGGCTCCGCAGACCTTGTCTTCGTACCTTGTGCTGTTTGAGGATGACACGGTGTGCATTACGTCGGCGGTGTATCCTGTTGATTACCGGCCGCGCCCTCCGTCTGAGCCTGCTGAGCCTCCTCTTAGGCCGAAGCCCTTGTCGGGTTCCAGCACAGGTGCGTTTTTGCCGACGCCCCACTACCGTCACGGCTCCAAGGGCCCTTCTGTTCGGGTCACGTTGCAAGGCCCTTCTCTTCCTGCTGCGGGGGGGATGAGTGCCATAGCAGATTTTTCGGATTTTTACGGTTCGGGCGAATTTTCCCGTCGGAGTTTTTCTGAGTCTGAGGATTCCTTGAAAGCTGGTTCGGATGGGCCGGTTGACTTCTTGTCAGATTCGTCTGACTATCCACAGACAGCTGGGATGCCGGAAGTTCCCCAGCAGGAGTTCTCGACCTTGCAAGGTGTCTGTGAAGATCCAGCTGCGTCTGATGAGGTTTTTTCTTCTGAGAATAGAAGGGAATCCGGAGAGGACTCATGTTCAGAGAGCCCGGGGGAGATTGCAGAAACCCGTGAAGCGGATGACGCTCCGGGAGTGCCGCCTACCAATTTGGGCGAGGGTTCAAGAAGCCCGGGGGAGCCTTGTGGGCATCGGGTTCTAAGGTTTGTGGGTCCGAACCCACAGCGTATGCCTGAGGCCAATCCAGCCCCTGGTGGCCGAAATGTGCAAGGCATCAACCGCCGCGTGCTTCAGGTCTCCTTTGCCTACATGTCTCCTGAGCAGTGGGCAGCGGTGTGTTATCTTGAAGAGGAGGAATTTGAACGTCAAATGTCGGACTTTACCCGCTTCTTGGATCCTGGTGATCCTGTTGATGGGGATACCGAAATCCCCTTCCTCCTTCTTCGGGGTACCTTGAGAAATCACCGCTGGGATCGTTATCCCACCATGGAATATCAAGATGCCGATGGCCGCCGGGCCCCATTGTTTGAGGTTCTTCAGCACCATGATGATGATGGCTGGTATGCCGATGATAGCGCATTTGGGGATAGGCTAGTTGCCTTCACCATAAGGGACTTTCGGACCTATGAGATTCGGGTTGTAGTCTTGCGACTCTTTGAACAGGAGCCACCCAATCCCTTGGCTGTGCCTGGTCCCATTGACCCGCCTCATATTCGGGCATTCCGAGTGAAGGACGAGGCCTCCAGTGCCTCAGGGTCCTACAGCGCTTCATCTAGCCAAGGCTATCCACCACCAATGCTTGCTGAGACCTCGAGTGCTGCCGACCGTCCCGGCCAAGGCTACTCGTCACCCATGCCTGCTGAAGCTCCTGCGGTCCCAGACCCGTCTGGTTCGGTGTCCAGCTTTTCTTCAGGATCGCTGGATGTGTCAGCAACGGGCCCGGTGTCTTCTAGTTCTGGGAACACCTCCACTGTGGATACTTACTCCACCCTGCAATCTAGCATCGCTGAATGGACCATTGATCCTCCCAGCAATCCTCTATGCCACATGCTCCAGTCAGGTGCACCGCTGAGCCCTTACATCATTCAGATTGGGCTGCAGGGCTGTGTGGAAGTTCTTGAGAATGATGATGATCTTGAAAAAACGTTGCATTATGCAATTCGGGGTTTCCAGTCCGAGCAACGAGGAGGCCGTATGCTTCCCAACGCTCTTGAGCCTAAGGTTGGCTGGATTGTGGTTGGAGCTATGATAGCCCGTTGGTTAGAGGATAATCCTGAAAGTGCGGGTGGCTATGACGTCCCTGAAAGGGTTAAAGCCATCGCCTTAGGAACAGCCACTTCCACGGTGCCTGAAGCCCCCGCCCCGTCGATGTATGACTTTTGGTTGAAAAAACTTGATCATAATGATAGAGCGGATGTGAATGTCCCAACTCCGCGATGGGACCGCCGGTATGCAGTGCTGAGTGATCGGGAAGCAGAACGACTCCAACGTGGTCGTCCAGTCGATGAACCAGCCAGTGGCTGGAATGAGCTCGATCTGCAAAACTTTGGCTGTTTGCTTCACACCATGCACAACCCCGAGCATGCCTTTATGATAGGACTGTTTGCCCTTCGAGGTCGAAATTGGGCTGTCATGCCTGAGGTGCGTATGATTTGGGATCACCGGCATACCAATTCTCCTGTGCCCTATGTGTTTGGGTACCAGCCCGGTGGCTTGAATGATCAAAACACTGAGTACGAGCTTGACCTCCTTGGCGTCGTAGAAACCGAAAGGGTCGTCGACTTTGAAGGCGAACCCAATCGTCGCGCCTACCTTTACCGGGCCATCCGATATGGCCAACCCCCTCAGTGGTTTCTGATCGAAAGTAACATGATATGGCAAGATCGGTTCCGCTCTTCTGAAGAGACCGGTCGCAACCCAGTTCCCAATCCCCAAGGGCCTCCGCCCTTTGAGAACAGGAGAGATCGTTCTCCGCGTCGGGACCCTGATGCTGGGCCTGCCTTTCGTGTTGCTCGGCTCTTCTCTAACTCTGGCGGTTCCCCGTCGGCAACAGAAGCGTTCTCTCCGTGTGAGACCTTCTGCAAGCAGGTGCTTCTTGAAGGAAACTCCGTTTCCACGGGTCAGCTTGCAAATGCTATCCGTTTGTACGTTCAAGATAAGAAAGCGATCAATCGGATCGCGAAGCGCCCTCTTGCCGGGAACCAGAAAGACGAAGCTTCAGGAGCAACGCTCCCTCCTTGGTTCTGGTCTTCCGGGGCTTGGGTTTTCAGTGCTAAGGTTGGAATCACCAATACGGTGCATGAGTGCCCGTGGCTCACTCGCCTTCTTGCTGTGAGCCTCTTCCACCGCACTGGGCATTGCTTTGCCTCCGTTGGCTTTGTCGTCAACATTGAGTCAGAGATTCATCGGGACTCTCACAATTCCCTTGAGTCAATGAATGTGGTTTGGAATGTCGGGCAAGGCTCAGGTTCTCTTGAGGTCCGGGGCCATGAGATGCCTCTTCCGCCAAATGCCTGGCTTAGTTTCCCCCCGCGTGATCTCCATAAGTCTGGAAGTTGGGAAGGAGATAAAATCCTGGTTTTGGGCTACACCCCTAGATCTCTTGAAAAGTTAACTTCTTCTGATCTTCTAAGCTTGAGATGGGTGAATATGCCAATCCAGGACCTTGAGCCTCTGTCGTCGTCTTCCGTCATCGGAGAACCCTCTCCTGGAGACGGTGTGTCGAAGTTGCTTCCAGATGAGTGTGATTCAGGTGAAGAGGAAGCAGACCTCCCGGCAGAGGAATCTTGGAGTCAGGTGACTCAGGGATATGAGCAAATGCACCAAGCAGTGACGCATTTCTTGAAGTCACTGCAACGATCTGTTGTGGGCGCTTCTTCCGAAGGCCCAGTTGACCCTATCACCTTGCAGGCGATGCGCGAAGCTTCCTCCCTTCGAAATGAGTTGGGCTGGCATCTAGAACTTGCGCGCCTGTACGGCTGCGATGAGCCTGTCAGTTCCTCCTCGTGGAGGGTGTGTGCCGCTGCCCCTGCAGCCGAACATCTTGAGTCTCAGCCCTTGCTGCATACCCGTATCGTCTCGAATGAGGAAGTCCGTGAGAAACTGCATGAATGGCGTGATGCCATGAAAGCAGAGTGCGATTCCTTAATTTCGAAGGGTGCTGTTGAGCTTGTGGCAGACAGTCAAGTTGAAAAATGGATTTTAGATGGTGAAGATGTAGAGATCCTCCCCGGCCGGGGTGTTGCCACTGAAAAGCCCCCTGTAGCTCCCGGATCCACTAAAAGGAATAAGTATAGAGCTGTAATTTGCGGCAATTTTCAAAAGTGGTCCGAGGAAAGGGCGGCAGAGTCCTTCTATGCCGGAGGAGCGGATTCTCTTTCGATCCGCACTGCCTTGAGATGGGCGGGCATGAGGAAGCACGGTGGTTCAGGAACTGATGTCAAGACTGCCTTCCTCAACGCTCCTCTTGATGAGCAGGAGGCAGAGTATCTGATCTGCAATCCACCTAAGGTGCTGTATGCCGCGGGAGTTATCCCGAGGGGCTATAAGTGGAGAGTCCACGGTGCTCTCTATGGACTCCAGACCTCCCCTCGTGCTTGGTCCCGCCTCCGGGACAAAACCTGCAGAGTCCTGACCTGGACCGTTGATGGCGAGAACCGCCACTTGCAACAGTGCGTTGCTGACCCCAACATTTGGCTCGTCAAGTCCCCTTGCGGTGAGACTGTTGCCTTAATGTGTTGGTATGTCGATGACCTCCTAGTGTTGGGACCCTGGTCGGAGCGATCTGCTCTTCTTGAAAAAATCAAGGCCACATGGGAGTGCAGCGCATTTACGCATACTGAAGATGGCCCAGTTGAATATTGCGGTCTTGAGATTTCGGAGTCTGCGGATGGTCTCTTGATTGGGCAGACCAAGTACATCAAGGAACTCTTGAAGAGGCACAACGTGCAGGGGAGTGCCAAGTCTCCATGTGCCGCGTGGTCAGCCAACTTCGATGATGGCGAAAGCCGTGATGACCCGGTTGATCCGGAAGCGGTTAAGGCCGCTCAAAGCATAACTGGTGAGCTACTGTGGCTCTCAGTTCGAGCGCGCCCCGAGCTGTCTTTTCCAGTCAGCCGCATGGCACAGTTGACCACCAAGAGGCCAAAGGATGCGCTAAGCATTGGGCAGGGAGTGTTGCGTTTCTTGAATTCTTCACCCTCCCAGTGCATTGTGTATGGCCCTCCTCCTGGAGACTGCGGGGCCTCTCAACAGTATCCAAGGCCCGTCGTTGAAACGACGTTGCATGCTTTTGCAGACGCCTCTTTTGGGCCAAGTTCAGGCAGATCCCACCAGGGTCTGCTAGTGTGCTGGGCTGGAGCTCCGCTCCACTGGGAATCTGGCCGCCAGACGCTGACTGCTCTGTCAACCGCTGAGAGCGAGCTGATCAGCTACGTCTGTGTTGTGCAAGCAGCTGAAGCTGTTGAGGCCTTGATTGGGGAGATCTTTCCAGAGCCCCTTACTCGATCCCTCTTCGGAGATAATTCTTCAGCAATAAGCATTGTAAGCGGCCCCCCAACTTCCTGGAGATCCCGCCACTTAAGACTTAGGTCCCATGCCCTACGTGAAAGGATCGAAAATGGTGTTTGGACGGTTTATCACTTAAGCGGCTTGCTGATGCCCGCCGACATCCTTACAAAGGCGATGACAGCCTCAAAGTTCGGCGACATGTTGCCGTTTTTAGGGGTTAAGAATCCGTCTGAGGATTGTAGGTTGCGGCTAGCTGCAGTGCTGGCATGCTGTGCCCTGCTTCTGAAAGGGCAAGGCTCTCCTGAGCCTGAGGGTTGGGGTTGGGTTATAGTGTACCTTACGGTTGTGATCTTAGCCTACGAGGGTTTTAGGTCCTTCCTTAGGAGGTTCTTAGGCTTAGTTGCGTACGTGTTCCCAGGCCTCGGTGCTCGATTTCCCGGGGTTCTGGATGTGCATTCCTCGCCCGATTCTGGGACCACGCAGCAACCTGCCGCAAGCACCCCGCCTTCCTCTTCCACACAGTTGCCAGTCCCTGGTGCTCGACTTCCCAGGGGTTCGTCCTCCTCCATCGGTGCTCGACTTCCCGGTGGAGCCTCTTTATCTTCTAGATCCACTTCGAATCTTCGATCCATCGGAGTGAATACCAATCCTGAGGACTACGCTCCTCTTCCTCCTGTTCTTCCAGCTGCTCCTGCAGCTGCCTACCGTCATCCAATCGACCTGGTGAGCCATTCCACCTCCAGCGGCTCCCACTGGCATCAAAATCCCGAGTGCTACCATCTCCGAAACCGGGATCATTCATCGCTGCTTCCGTGCAGTGACTGTGTGGTTGGCCGCACGGTCTTCCATACTAATCTCCCTACTGGACTTCGACGCCGCAGGGGAGGGTGAGTGATGGACTTCAAGGCAACCAATGCCTTGCAGGCTACCATAGCCTCCGAGCACCAACTCGTTAAACTGATCCGCTGCCTGCCGGCCTGGACTTTTGCAGCGGCCTGTAAGTGTCGCTTTCTTCCTCATGGCTGGACTTAGCCTTCCTTCGGGGCTAGTCAGGCCCTCGACTTCTTTCCTCCCTCCTCGCCGTGCCACCATCCGTCCTTCCCTTGTGGATTTTTGAGGCGGTACCGCGGGGTTAAAGGGGCTTTTAAATACCATAATTTAGGTCGTCTTCTATCTTCTGTTTCTTTCGAAAGGCCTTGAGCTCTATTGTAGATGGCCGCGGAAACTCCTGAATGAGCGAATTCCTCTTAGAGGCAGAAGTTCACAGGAGAAAAGGCCGTGTAGTCTTTGCGAAGCGCAAAGGGGGGAGTGTTGGAGTTTCAGCTTCAGCATGAGCCCCTGCGCAAGATGACACGCCGAAGGCCTTTTTGCTCAGCGTATATAAAGTTGTTGCGTGCTTTCGGGGTGTAAGTTCAGGGTTGAGCCTAGAGTCCAAAGCTTAGGTAGCCAGGTTCTTCTAAAGGCCCTTCCCCGGTAGCTCCTCGAAAAGACTAATTATTAAGTCCCCTATATTATAGCAGCCTTATAGATCCGTTCCGGTAGGCCTTAAAGACCCCTTTAAAGGAACCCTATTCTAGTTATTAAGGCCTCTACATTATAGGGCCTCAGCGGTCTTGCTCCCGAGAGCACTCAGATAACTTACACACTCAACCCGCGGCACCAGGACCCTCCTTATAGCCTCAAAAGTAGGGGTATATGGTCCCAGATAAGGGGCATTTAGGGTCTAATAGAAGGTAGATGGAGGGTCTAGGCAATGATACCGTGATACCTTGTGTCGTCGCCCGGCACTACACGCTGCGCGTTTCGCCCAGTTGTGGCTCCTCAGGCTGTGCCTCGAGACTAAAAGGCTTCCAAGATATCGCGCATCAAGCTACGGTAAGCGGGATCAAATGCAACGTTTCAGACCAGTCGTAGGGCATGGGTTTTTCAAAGAACCTATGTTCAGCTTTCGGCAGCCGTGCAAGTCTGGCTCGGCAAGGTCATAGTTGCATTCTTCTTTTCTTATCGTTATTACATACATACATACATACATGCATACATACATACATGCATATATGTATATATATTTTATTCATATGTTTATGTATTCTTTCATTTGTCAGTTCATTCGTTCGTTTATGCACCCATTAATCATTAATTCATTCATCCGTTCATCTTTTATCCATTCAAGCATGCTTCCGTCCATCCATCCATCCATCCATGCATCCATCCGTCCATCTATCCATCCATTGTTTGGTTCATGGATTGGTACGTTGATGATTCATTGGTAGATTCATTGGTTGGTTCATTGATTATTCAGGTTGGTTGGTTGCTTCTTTGATTTATTGTTTCATTGATCCATTCACTGATTATTGCTTTCATTTGTTCATGCATACATTCATAGTTTTTCGTTTTAGTAATTATTCTTCTTCTAGTATTGCTGGTATCACTGTTGCAACTGCTATTGTTATTGGTAGTATTATCATTTCAGTTGTTATTAGTATTCTTGGGTTTCTTCTTATTGTTCTCCTTCTGCTTGTTACTGTTACGATCAAGGTTCTTATACATAAACATACACACATGTACATGTGTTTATTCAAGTATTTATGCTTTCATCTATCTATGTATGTATTTGCCAGTTGCATCGCTTTTGTCGATTATTGTTATTAGTATTGTTATTGTGATAATTATTGTTACATTGGTATTACTATTATTATTGGCATTAGCATGGACATCATCATTATCAGATTGATGATTGTTATTGTGCTTATTACTATGATTACCACCCTTGATCCTAGTACTGCTAATATCCTTATTACTGTTATTCTTATTTGTATGATTGCGTGTGTTCTCAGTAACCTGTCTTATTCAATAGCACTACATTAAGTTGGACTATATTGTATTACATTTATGATATTATGACATTCAATATGGTGAGGTTTCACAAGTTCTAACATTGCATTATGTCATCATTGTTCCTCCTTCTAGTATTCTTATGCGTCTCTTCGGGCAGAAGTGTCCAGTCTCCGTTTGGCCCCGCAGGCCCCTCAAGCCATGCCCTAGACCCGAAACCCTCCCTTCGCCGAGGCTGCCGAGACCCGGCCGCCACCCCAAGCGCCGAGACCAGATGATGTCTCAGCCGGGGAGCGAGAAAGCCTTGAGTTGCTGGCGTTAAGGTTTAGTTAAGGGGGTTTTAGGGGTTCAGGGGTGTAGGGGTTCAGGGGTTTAGAGGTTCAGGGGTTTAGGTGTTTAGGGCATTGAAAATCGCAAACTTCAGCTCGCCGCTTGTCGAAATTTTTGTTTTAGGGTTAGGTACGGGTTTGGGTTTGGTGCCTTTGTAGCTAGGATGCCCAGTAGTACCCTTATTCCCTTTTTGTAGTCCTAGGTTCCTTATAAAGTTACCCAGTACCAAAAAGGGAGCCCATTTAACCTTCTTCTTAAGTTGAGCTATTCCGGCTCCCCTCTATGACATGACCGCTCTTTGAGACTTGTGGAGCCCATTTTATTCCTAGGTTACTGGGCATCCTAGGTAGGGTTTGGGCGTTGGGGTCGGATCCCTGTTTTCAGGATCCCTCTCATTCCTTACTTGGAAGTTCCTGGGGTGGTTTTAAGGGTTCCTTTAAGGGTCCCTTTAAAGGGATCTTTGTGGGATTCTAGAAAGATGTAGGGTTTAGGGTACTTGCAGGTTTCTGGTGTAGTTATAAGTGGAGTTACAAGTCCCCTTATATGGGTTCCACTTATCGTTACCCTACTTATGACCCCACTTGTAGCTACCCATGAACCTCCAAGTACATCTGCGTTGCCAGAGGCTTTTTCTTCCACATTCCGGGAAGACTCGCGCATGCTCCTAGGCCCTCCTCTCCTCGCGACGTCCCCTAAACCCTGAACCCTTGCAGCCCTAAGCGGGGTGCTAAGACCAAATCTTGGGAATATTCAAGGCTGAAGCCCAGAAGTGCCCGTCCTTTAAGCCCTAAGCCCCGTAAACACCATAAGCCCCAAGTCTGCGTCAGCGGTTGTTTTTCAGCCTCATTTTTTTCGAAAGCAACGAAGTGGCCCTTAAAACAACCTTAAATCCTACCTTAACCTACCAAAACCTCTACTTTTTAGAAGGGTGTCCGTATAAGTTCAATGCATGCGGGTTACAATCAGAAACCCACAGAAAAGCAGGTTTCGGTGGTTTACTAGGTCTCCGGGGTCGTAGGTTCGACAAAACTACCCAATACCAACAAGCGAGCCCTCTCTATTCCTAGGCCACTGGGGGTCCTAGCAATACACCCGAACTACCCCTATATACCCTTTTTACCCCTATATACCCCTGTACACCCTCTACACCATAGGTTACCTTAAAAGTACGGCAAGCCCAAGCCCCGTGATCATCTTGGAGCCGAAGTGCTCCGCCTTCGGGGCTCGCAGTGTGCCTTGAACCACCAAAACCCTCGGTCAGGGGTTGTGTGTGTGAACCGTGTCAGAATGCGCTGCCACGGCCTTGCAAGCTCGACTGCACTTCCTGACAAAGCCGTGTTGGGCTCGCAGGAAACGCAGAAATGACGTGGAGTTCTCCAGCTGGGCAAAACCTCATCAAGTTACCAAAATAAGGGCTTGTGGGCTACCTTGAAATATGTTCCTCAACAGGAACCCAAGCATGCATGAGCTGATGGTCCTTTGGCTGAAAGAATTGAGGGTTTAGGGGTTAACCACGTTTGTTTCTAGGGAGCCTAGACCCAGAAGTCATACGGCCGTGATTGACAGTACGAATTGGACCGTGGGCGATTCGAGAGAGCCCTGCAACTTGCGGGATTCCCTTGTGCTGAGAACGGGAAGCTCTTGCATAAGCGTCTCTATAGCTTCGAAACACTTTGGTCTGGTTGCCAGAAGTTCGAAGATCAACCGCAGACTCCTACAGTAAACTGGCACATGCTTTCTTCTTGAGACTCTACACTGTTGCAGAATCGCAAACCCGAAAAATGATCCTGAAGCCCTGACCTTGTCCCCAACCCAAAAGGTAGGGTTGAAGGGACGCATTTCAAAGCCACGACATGAGCTGCGGGTATGGCGTTGCCATCCGTCGAACAACTCTCGGCCGCGGGTGACGATGTGCCTGCTCCCCAATGCTTTGCAAACCTTGTCCCTAAAACCCTAGCTCCTAAACATGTCTAAACACTAAACGTTACACCCTGAGTCCTAATGTCAGCTTTCTCTGCATCTCACAGTGTTTTGCGTTCCAATCATGAGTCACCGAGACTCCCAGAAGCTCCAAAATCCGAGTAAGAGTCTGTCCTCCAAAATCCCTGACGACAGGTGCAGCGCAGTTTAGGGTTTAGGGTGAAGAATTACGAATAGTCTTCCCGAATTAGGGCTCATAATTGTTTTTTTTGCTGATAAGTATGCTCTAATCTACCCCATCATCCTATTCTCTCAGATTCTCCCTCAACTGTCGCAGTGAGCCTGGAGATAGGGACCCCTAAGCGGAGATGCTCCTGAGTCTTGAAGCTCTTTTTTTTCGATGGTAACATAATAGCCTGGAATATTCGTGCTTTATTCTTTAGGGCTCCTGATTATTCTTCTTAAGATTATTGTCTTGTCTTCTATGTGGTATTGTTATTTTTGCATTATTATCATGGTTATGATTATGGTAGTTTATGATGTTTATGACTCTCATAATGAGGATTATGATTCTTATTTGTAAATTATTACAAATTACTACCATTCGTATTATTATTATCATTATTCATGATTTTGCTTATTCCTGCTTATTGCTACTACTGTGACACCGTTGTTCCTAGCATTCATTGTTCTTTGTACAATTAAAGTACAGAGTCGCTGTGAATAGTTGGCTCTAGCATCCCCACAGCCCCACGAAAATATGTCGTAGCATGTGCTATGTTTTGTGTGGTTTTCTTCATTTCTGAAGG